CCGAAATATCGGGAAAATAAAAAGAAGTCATACCGTGGTAAGAAACCCGATACTAGTGATAATCATTTATCTTTCTTCTTGGTATACAGTGGTTCAGGACATTATTCAAGTAGAGATCAAACATTGCATAATTTTCATTAATATTTTTGAGGGGGTTTATTATGTTATTCCAATTTGTAGCTCTTAATTCGTTTTTAAATTTATTTATATTTATGCTATTATATAGTCGCTTTTTTATTTGCCACGCAACAGACTTGGTTGGTATTTCTAAATTCATTTTGAACGTCGTACCCCTGTGGTCTCAAAAGCCAAAATCCCGTACAGCTGTTGTAATATTACCATCGGTAAAATTTGTAAATACAAGGTCAATGCAGGTAGATGAGGTTTGTGTGATTCGAGTTGGTTCCTTAACATGCTGAGTGAAGTTATATTCAAGCATAAGATTTATTAGCGTTTGTGATTCGAAGTCATTTTTTAGAACGTTAATATTAAAATCTCCACCGATTATAATATTTCTATTTTTATTGGCTTTTGTTAAGTGATTCAGAATTAATTTAAATTGTGCAATAAATACATCGAATTTCCTATTGTTCCAGTATAGAACGATCACTAACATATTTAATTTAGTAATTTCGATAGCGCAAAGTTCCACTACAAATTCAATAGACAAGTCTTTGCTATCTTCTCTTTCTGCATATTCATGATCTTCTTGAATTAAAATGCTCCACCATGAATGTGTGATTTTCGACAATACGCGGCTGCAATTTTATATCCGTTGAAGTTTAGTAAACCCAGTTTTTCAGATGATAACCACGTTTCGGATAGGCATATTATGTCATTCTTTGATTGTCTGTTCTAGGAATGTCTCGAATATATCTACTTTGTTGTACAGATTTTGCATATTTTGAAAAAGTATTTTAAGTACATTTACTGTAACGAAATGTATCCGATGTGCCTTCCTTCCTTCCATTGTGTGTTTCAGGTAGGATTTTGCGTGTTTGGATCTGTGGACTATTAAAAACTTTAGAAAGGTCAGACTCTAGTCGCAGGCGATGTTTTGCCATTCCTGGCTCTCAAAAACTTTTCCTTCGCGGGTCCAAACGAACTTATAATTCATCTCACGAGCTAGTTCACGGGCTCTTAAAAAGAGAAGACGATTGTGCTTAGTGAGGCGCTCGTTGAGGTACAGGCGCCGCGTAGGTCCCGCCAGTTGTAGTCCATCAGTGTCCAGGCCGCGGCGCACGCGCGCGGCTCGCAGCATGGCGTCTCGCGGCGCCCGGCGCGCGAGCCGTACCGCAATGGGCCGCGGCCGAGCTGCCGCGCCACTGTCCAGCGCCGGTTGTCGCACTGGTCCTACTCGCTCAGCACTCGCAATATCCGTCTCCTCTAGCTCCACGCCAATCTGCAATTGAGAGATTGTGGATTCGAGAGCTGTGATATCACTTGAGGATTCCGCTTTACTTTCCAGGACTGAAATTCTGGACTCTAATAGGTCAATGCGTTTGTTTTGTTCATTTAGTGTATTTGTTAATTCAGTGATTGCCATGTGGATACTGCCCATTGATGTTTGTATTAGCTCTTTCATAAATAGTTTTAACTCACTTACGATAGGATTTTCCGAAGTGTTATTCATAGAGCCGACATTCTCCTTCTCTTCGTTAACGGCCGGGCGCACTATTCTGGTACGACGAGTAATATTGTGATTATCTTCATCTCGCAACGCTACAACGGTGGGCTCATGTTCTTCCGTAAAAACGGCACCACTGCGCACGGGGGTGTTTACATTTCCAGTCTTCGGCTTTTTACACAGACATTCTGGGCATTTCCACTTATCTTTTCGCTCCATTATATTAAAGAGCTTTTGGCTGATGTTTGCACAATCGATGTCGTAAGTCGCTTTACAAGACATGCAGGTAAGATATTCCCTTTTTGGCAGCAGGTTTTGACACCCCGCACACTTTAGATGGGTACTCATTTTGTATCTGTAGATGGTATCACCACCTAATACATATCACCACATGGTATCACCACATAATAATGTCAGTAATATACAATAAGGATGGCCCCGAAGTGCTCCGAACACAATATAACAAAAATAAAAAACCAAAAAAAAAGAACAAAATAATAAAATGTATGTTGTCTTGGCAGAGGATCGAACCGAGTCCTCACGATTGGCGGTTCAAGCTCGTATGGTTTGTACTAATCAGTCTTGTGACGTAGCTTGTGAATTTTTCTAACTCTTTACGCGGTGTGACCAACGTCAGAGTAGGCATATGACCAGTTCTATTGTTCGAGCGGCGTAGGAATAGGCATACAAGCGCTCGCCTTTTGTTCGCTAATGACCGGGCAAAGTCCAATGACGGACTAACACAGCACTTATAACGATTTAATTTGAATGATTTACTTAATTTACGTTTAGTACACTGCACTGGACCACTTTAAAGTTTTACAGTTTTTATAATGGTGAAATTGGCTAACTGAACATATAAATTTTTGCCTTGTAGATTAACTTTTTGTACACTTTTTCAAATAAAAATCAAAGGACACTCGAACGCACGTCTGTTGCTGTACTCTGGCCGCCGGACGGTTTGGAATGTAAGGAGACGGAGACGGAGTACGCACAGGCTCAGTTGTTGGCGCTGTACTATTTAAGCGTTCTAATTTGTGATTTTGAAATCAGCGCAAACGAGAGTTGATATTTAAAAGTGATATAAGACCCGTTTTCCTGATAAGTTGCCAGGGATAGATGGCCCCTATTTCGTCTCTATTTCTGGTTATATACTGGATGATTTCCGCGAAGTAGCGCCTGAACATAATACCAATTCATCGCTATCACTCAAACTCTGAGCAATCACAGGACTGTTTGGGCATGACTAAAATAAAAATGAATCATACCAGATCATGACACATACTTCTTGAAAAGACTTCTTGAACATATTAGTGAACATGAAAACGATGAACACTTCGTCTATGCAGCTGAGCATTCCACAGTTGGTTGTGCCCAGCCCCAATGGATACTTCCATTTTTTCTCAACATCAGGTCTTCTGTACATGAGTCCCTTAAAATATACATATTTGAAGTAGTTAAAGGCTGACGCAGCTACTTGCAGGTTCAAATAAGAACCAAACAAAATTAATGTTCGATTGCATTGAGTCGGAATGATTTTCTTTTCTTTTATGACATCAAGGCGAGGCACTGCCACTGCGTCTGTCACCTTGAGATAAAGTTTACAGGTCTTATTTGTATCTGTAGCGTCACCAGACCCTTTAGGCTCATTACCAAGGATCGTAATGGAGGGAGTTCCATCCACGTTATTCTTTAGTTTAGCCAATCTCGGGATTTCTAGAAAATGATTATATTTTAACAATAAACATGAGACAACCTATACTTTGGAATATTTAGAAAATAAACAGAAAGAAATAAGTATTTGTTATGCAAGGCTGCGAAGTTGTTGTTTGTGGCATAGATTTAGTATATGGTTCGAGGCGAGTGGTTCAAAAAATAGATTCCTGAGCGCAGCGAGGGTTTCAAGCTACGAGACGCAAAACATCTTAGCTGCCGAGCGAAATAATATACATCTTTTCACCTCACTACAGCAAGAAAAATGGTAGATGAAAGAAAAATAGTTGAACTACAAAACCTTTTTTAATGAACGGGCCCAAAATCGAACCCTGGCTGACTTCAGAACGGGTGTGGAAACTTTCCGAAAAAAAGCTTCCGTGTTGCACATACCGCTGTCTATCACGTAGATAACTGGGAAAGAACCTGAGTAGTTTGGGCGAGAAGCCGATGCTATACAACTTGCTTAAAAGCACATCGTTGTCTATATAGTCAAAAGCTTTTCGAAAATCAAAGTACAAAACGTCAATTTGCATTCATTTATTCAAATAATCAGAAACAGAATCAACCAGGGTTGAATCGTTTGACTTGGGAATAGGACGCACCCGTGTAACTTTCCACTGATTGGGGTACTCCCCATTATACAGAGCTAAATTGAAAATGTGAAGTATCGACGAATTTAGAAATTCTGTACATCCCTTTAATATGAAAGCTGGAAAATTATCCGGACCTAAGGAGCTTTGGGGCTTTAGGTGAGACATACCCGTTTCGATATCTTGTAATGATATTTTATCAATGTGGACATAATTTGCAGAATTGGTTAAGTCTTCGCGAATATTTTTTTCTAAAAGATTTAAATTTGGTATTAAGATCTCTGACATTTTGATACGCTATACTGGTACGATAGACGAAATGGTCATTTCTAGAGTCATGGATACTTGTACGCTCATATGTACACCTTTTGTCGCGAAAAAAGCACATTTTAACTCTTGCATTGTCAGGCCACACGTTTATGACGTACACCTTTCAAAAAAAGCAGACTTCATCAATACCAGACATCATTCCATAGGTGGATATGCTTTCGGCCCTCGACCGCTCTCAAGGAGGTGATATTAGGGCCAGCAATGCAGCGTATGCCTTCGACCCTCGACCGCTCTCAAGGAGGTGATATTAGGGCCAGCAATGCAGCGTACTGAGGTGAGGCGTCTTTGCTTTCTGGATTGGGGCTCCTTCCTATTCCCCGCTCGTGGGGTCACCAGGGTCTTTAATTGTCATGTTGTCGGCCCCATAGCTACTCTGCGTAGCACCCTTCCAGATGCCTTCAAGGAGGACCGCAACTGCGCTGAGAACCTAATTTGTTGGCCCAGCAATTGGTATGCTAGGTTTAGCGACTACTGAAGCTTCTTCTCACTGATGTGGTTGTGTCTCTGGTTTTGCAAGATTCCAAAACCTCGACACTAGGGGCAGGTGATACTGTCGTAACGACAGCTGGTCAACGAGACTCGATGGAATGCTCTATCATAATGAGTTTATCGCTGATTGCTTCACCTTACATGTGCATTCGGTAAGAGCCGAGTGGTATCGCCTTATGGTAGCGACTACGTCAGCAAGCTGTTCTATCAAGTTTGTTATTTGCTCGCGTAGTACCTGGATTTCCAAGGTGACAGGCATGTACATGGATACATTAGCCTCCGAAGAACGCTGACACTGCCCTGCGAGGGTGGGACTTGAAGGAGGCTTCATTAGCGCTATATTCTTGACTTCGAGAGGGTACCAACTGGGATTTCACAGTTTCGGCCTTCCTTCTTAATAGTACAAGTACATTCGGGACATGCCCAAGTGGCCCTTTCATTGCCAGAAAGAGTTTTGTTATTACATGCATAGTGGTACAATTTTCCGCATGTCTCCACCATACACTGCAAGAATTCCTCATCCACTGATAGTTCTATCCGGCAAGCGCCGCAGGTCATACTACTGTTCAAACTCGTACTCATTCTAACCCCTGGAGTACTCCTTGTTCGCAGCGGCAACTCAGGAAAAACGGGCTACATAATGTGAAACAGCTAGTACGGAAACTGGGCGTAGAGATCAGTGGTCATCGTAGGCATGCAGTGTGACGCAGAAACAATCTATGCAGCGCGTAGACCAGATGACGTTGTTCATACGTAGCAAGAAGCAACGGTATACAAATGTCGCCGGGCAACCGTCACCGATCGCGGCGCAACCGTAGAGCGACGGACCGCAGATGTTAGGGAGGTCCCAGGCTTGACAAATTGCACCTATGGCGCTTGCCACATCACAACGCAACATGAAGTGAACGATCCCACTGACGTCAAGCATGCTGGATGAGAGGTCCGACAGAATCCTAGATGGACGCGCAGTCTTACGAAGACAGCTCCAAGATGGTAAGAGAGAGGCCGATAATTCACTGACACGTGGACTAAAGTCAGGCAGACTGAGTGAAAGGTCCGACGGAATCCAAGATGGACGCGCAGTCTTACGACGACAGCCCCAAGATAGTAAGAGACGGACCGATGATTCACCGACACCAGACTTAAAGTAATACAAGTCAAAATATTCGAATGTAGGAAAACAATTAGCGCACGTCCGTTCGCATCGAGTTTTAAACGATGAAAGTGATAATATGATCTTTACCTTTATTCAATTGTTTCGTTCTGTAGAACTCGCGCTATCACCCGTAGGGTAGTCAGTGTTTACATGTAGGACTTGTGAAAGTTGGCGCGACAAACGTTCCGTTTTGAGTTACCTCGCTTATAGCCACGTGAACTATTGCAATTATTACCTAGGTCATTGTTTTGATTAAGATTTTGTGAGTGATTGGAACAATGATGCACAAAATTGGGCTGATCTGATGTACAGCTACATTTGTAGTTGTTTTGGTAACTTCGTCCACGTGATTGGCCATTATTATAATTTCTGAAACTGAATACATGATACTGTGGCGATGATAGACATTCTTCATCGACCGCGGCTCTGATCGCTTCCAGTAATGATTCGAAATTACGAGACGCAATTATCGTACTAAGACGTGTACTTGAAAAACCATCTGCGAATCGTTTCAGAGCTAATTTCTCGTTCAGAGGGCGAAGAAAGTTAACATTATTGTCATCACCATCTGCTTGGGCTAAAGTCAAACTAACAAACAATTCTTTTAGTTCCATACTAAACCTTTCTATCGACCTATTTCCTTATTTGGTACGTAATAGTTGTGACTGATTTCTTTTGAATTAAATGCTTTTTCATATTAACAATCAAGTCATCTCCGGTGGTGTAAGCAGAATGTAATCTAAGTCTAGCACTTTGTGACAGTCTAGTTTTTAAAACAAAATTAATGGGAATTTGCTTATGCTTAACCTCAATCATAGTGCTGTACAATTGAATACCGTTGCCATTTTTGAATCTGATACTGGTTCTTGAGGGCCTATACACTAAACTTTTAATTTCGGTTCTTAAATAAATCATTTCTTTCGCATATCTATGTATAATCTCCCAATCGGATCCACTTATTTGATCCGCGAGATTATTTATGTTAGGCACAATTTGCTGAAATTCTTCGTATAATAATAATAATAATAATAATAATAATAAAACGTGACCTACTAAAGAAGTCACGTTGATTCAACACATTACAGTGTCATTATCTTTTTTTCATCGAAAAAAAAGTTAGGTTAGGTTATGTGGTGGTGCACCAAAGTCCATCGCCAAGTTCTAATTTCAAAAACCTTTACCACGCTAGCGTGCAAAAGACGCTTTCGCGTGCGTGTCTCTAACGAGAAAGAAATCTTTTCCGAGCTAGTGAGAAGAAATAGAATTTTTATACGCATTGATGACGAAATGGGTATACGACCATAGTAAGAAAACGTTCACACTGTGGATGAATTAACTCCCTCAATTCCAATCACTGCTAATTACGTACGGTGCCGCGGCGGCAGCGCTTTTTACCACCGCGGTGCGTCGTAGCACGATGCGACGTCGTATGTGTAAGAGCCCTTAGAGCTCGTTAGGGCACGACGTCGTCGTGCTACGACGCGACGTTGTATCGTGTTTATATATGTAAGAGCACTAAGCTACATGCCTGTCCATAACAGTTGCAGTGCCACTTGCACCAGTGTCTTAAATTGCAAAGATCTGGGGGGCTCTGCCACTGCGCCTATAACCCTGAGAAATAAATTTAAAAGTCCCATGTGTATATAATTTCACCAGCATCCTTACCCTTCAAAACCGGAACACAGTAATGCGATTATATTTTTAAAATTTTCTAAGCTAACGTTCTTTCACACGCGTTTGCTCGTGTTCGTTTTTGTTACAACGGAAGAAGCGTCCACGTAAAAGCTAATAGTGCAGGATAGACCTCGTGAAACTGGCGCGTGTTGAAGTGCGCGGTTGCGCGCGCGATAGATGAGCACAATCTCGCGGTCTTTCCCTTTTTAAAATTAAAATTTAATATTGTAAACACACGCGCGCTCAATCGTGCACGATTGCTGTATCACGCGCGATACAGTGTCCGTGTAAAGCCCGCTAATAACTTGTAGCCGTAATATATTAAACCTTATTTTTTAAATTTTAATTTTACAAAAAAATTAACCAACCTTAATGAAAGTATAGTAAAACAATAATCCAAAATTGTTAAGTAGCGTAAAACTAAACATGTACTTTACGAAGGACGTTTCGTGATGGTATTCGGTGCGATGATTGTACAACCAATGCGAGAACAATATCGATGCTCTTGTGAATATCTGTACAAAACAACAATTTTAACTTATTTAATTAAACATGTCGTAGCGAAGTCTGTAGAAAAAACACCCGTCCAAAGACGGTTTCATTTTTAACCGACTTCACATAAGGAAGAGGTTCCTAATACAACAATCTATTTTTTGTTTGTATATTAGGCGATAATTCTGGCATTTGTGAACCGATTTTATCGAATCTTTTTTGCTGGAAACAGGGTACCTCAGTAGTAGTTCCATTTAAAATCGGAGAAAATATTCCATCTGTAAAGGTAGCAAACCAGAGAATGAATCCGGTTTTGCGCACTTTCCGGTAACCGATTTCAATAAAACTTGGGAAATAGATGTAATTCACACATGTAGTTTTGAGGTCGGTTTTTTTAGTACTCTGTACTGAGATTGTTGGTCATGTGCCCGATGCAGTTTCACGCCAAAATTATTTCAGTCTAATCCGATTCTCAAGTTTTATGTCTGACCGATGGCAGTGCAGTTCGGTTGCGTTTCAATTGCGAAAGTCGACGATTCGATTCCCCGTGCATTTTAATTTCTAAGTTACGTTCATTAGTAAGTGTTTAGCAGCAATACCTCTCGCTACCCATGTGAAATGTACGATTAATAACCTACATTATAAGAATGTGTATGCTGCAATATTCGCTTACGCGTGGCGTGGGCCGCGTTATTTCAGGCAGTGTGCATCGGACACTCGAGTCGATCATTATATCATTATCAATTATCATTTAGTGTAGGCTCATCCTACAGGAAATGTGAGCAATCTCTAACCCACATTTTAAAATCCTCTCCTAAAAAGACGATGACATTTTATGCTTCGATCTAAAAATAGCAAATCATCGAACTTGCAAGTTTTCCCTTTCGACTCGCAGTGGCACTGTAGACATTATAAAGTGTACTCACATATTCCCAGATGAGTGTAGACAGTGCATTGAGTCCACCTAAAAAAGAAAGCGTGAAGTAGTTGGCCATTACGAGAAGCTCCTCCTTTTCGGTTTGTATCATTATCATTTTCCACATTTCCATCTCAGCAAAAATAAACAATGGTATCAGGCAGAAGATCTGCAAAAACAAGCGGTTTGTAGCTCAACAGACGCGAGACGCAAACTTTGGCAAGCGAAACTCGTTGTTCCATTTGATTTTATCGCCTAAGAGTCTATACAACCTCAAATGGCTTTGATGATTCCGCATAACAATCACTTTGGATAAAATATATAGTAAAATTAAGGATACCATTGACTTACAATTATATGGACGTCGGGTCCGCGCTAAAAAGTGTCCGCACTTGTAAGGCGCTAAAATCGTATACAGAGCGCGACACTCCGCTTTAGTCTTCATTTGTTCTACGGACAGCGCGATACTGCGATGACATTACAATTTAAATTTCGAATAGGTTGACTTGGGACATTTTTTTCGTGGTTTTTGTATTAGACCCGTCGTCCATTTATTTGTAAGTCAATGAAGGATACACATTGATAAGTAAACGGTGTAAAAACACGATTCCTAAAAATGTTCACGGCAGAGAAAACACACAAACTTACCTTGTAATTGTACAACACAACGGTTGTATTCAATGGGTACTTTACCTATACCAATCATTTTTTTTAATATTAACTGAACTAGATAGAATACGTGTAATAAACGATATACATTTTCAAATGGCTTCATTTTCGTTTGTATAAAAATAAATTCTGAAATAAATCCAGTGTTCCTGCCACTCGAACCGCGCAGTAGAATCGATCCAGTGCGGCAAAAATTACTGAATTTGAGCTGAAGTAGATCGACTCTTAGCTCCGAAACTGTTCCCCCTGGGCACGTGGTCAAACTATAGAAGTCCTGAACCGTGTCAGAACAAGCAGGCCGGTGTAGAGACGTCGTTATTAAATAGGGCTTTATCAACCAGACTCAAAACCATTGTACTTGCGGATGTCCCACACAAAGTATGCCTCACCTGCCCTCGTGACCAACGTGTCAGACCTCCTAAAGGCAACCGACAGGGGCACAGAGGTAGGTGCTTACTGGACCAGTCCAATATCTTTCTGCATAAGTTTTGGTTTTGTTTTTTTGTTTTTCTTTGTTTTTTTTTTGGCACTATGATCTGTGCGACCAAGCCCGCGCAGGAATCGTTTAAGTCAGGTCCTAAGCCCAAATCAGTCCGTTTGTAAAGATTTCATTCGGTCTAGACTCGATAAGGCTAGTGCCTTAGGTGAGCCTCCCTATTTTCCAGGTAGGTACCGGAGTTGTAGGCATGCTAACTTCCCGATGCGTTCTGCGCAACTAACGGTTACCACCGCTAAGCCGTCTACTTTAAGTCGACTACCAAATCTTTCAAGTTCTCCGACTCCTACGCGGCTGTAGGAACCGGAGGATGTCTAGCTTACTGGACCAAAGAAATTTAACACTGATTTGTCATTTTATTACTTTTTGTCATTGACCTGATAAGAAGAACAAACGCGCGGTTTGGTCCAGATGAGGGCGCCTAGCACCACGCACCCATGACCCAGTATTGACTAGCGCGATTGCCCAGTTACTTCCACATGGCGGTCACTTTTTCAAGACAAATAAAGGAACTTTGGAATCATTTAATTTTAAAGGGTCTTTTCGAAAGCGTCGAATTCTTAAGGCTATAAAAGCATTGTCAAACTGTGTTTCCTCAATTAGGATAAAATAAATCAGGGATAGCCTACATAAAAGGCGCTTGATTGCTTCAATTCTGTACACCAATGAGTTTCCCCAAAGTTTATACTTAATGTAATCAACTTACAAGTCGTAAAGGACGCAAATCTTTGCCCGGTGAGAAGAAGTACCACATAATTATATCACACAGCAAAACTATTATTAAGTGAAATTACAGGCACATGGGACTTGTCAACTTATGTCTCAGGTGACCGACGCAATCGCAGTGCCTCTCAGATCTTTGTGACTTAAAGGACTGCGTGGCACTGCAACTGTTATGGACAGGCGTGTAGCTTAAACAGGCACACGACTTGTTCGTCCCGTCACTTTGTTTTATTTAAAAAAAAATCAGCATCATTAAACAACAATTTCGCTATTTTAAATTTACTTTTAAACATTTTCATTTCCATTGAGGAAAATTTGGCTTTTCGTTTGGTGACGGTATTGGTCGTAACGTGTGACATGTTACTAAAGGATCTGGAAATATGAGGCCCGTACAATTACGTAATAGATACTCACGAACAAAGTTAGAAGAATAAGCACAAGTATTCTTCGCACCGTATCTTTGTATTCAAAATCAAAAGAGTATTCATATTCAGATCTGAAAACAAAATTCTACGTAAATTTTCATGAATCTTGATAATCATATTAATAAACTCGAACAAAAAATAGAAGTTTTGCATATCAGGGTTCGAAGTTATAATTATCATGACGATATATAATTCATTGCGATACAATGTTCTATTATGTGCTTGTATCCGATACGTATCCTAACACGTCAAATTTCAAACTAAAAAAACAAAAATGACAAAGACTTTTCTTCATGTTTATTTAGTCACTGTTTGTCTTTTTAAGTAAAAAATGAAGGAGACAAAACTATGTATCAACATGGATAATTATCAGATAATTATTGTTCAACGTTGAACATCATGTATTTAACAACAAAACTCAAGATCGTTACATTTAAACTGTCACAAAAAATGGCCTCGTCATCAGGCAACAAGTACAACTTAGTAATATAATTAACTAATTAACAGAAAAGAGCTTCATCGGCTACAACACACATAGCACACTAAGAAAAATCTATGCATTAGTCATAAAAATTGTATGAATAGTAATAAGTAATAAGATTTGTAAATATACTCAGTTGGATAACTGATTTTAACTCATCAAACTCATCATCCTGCTTAGTACTACCCGCTACTCCTCTCACTGTGCCCAAGACACCTTTAGCCATCAGTAGATCGGTCTTGTGAGTCTGCTTGACAGGCAGTGAGAATACCATTCTAGTACACATTGCACGACGTGTACTTCCTTACCTCTGTCCAACCTTCCGTTTGTCACCTTAGGTCTCATGGTGACAGACTTCCCGTTCATATCTTGCATATATATTTCTCCGTCTATATATTTATGGTTAGGTTAGGCTACACACCGTTAGGTTGTAGGGCTACACTATTATATAAATTCAATAGAACAACCCTTGAGGTCTCACCGTTAGGGTTAATAGAGTAATTTTATCTTAACTTTACCATAACTTCATGCACAGCAGGCGGTTGGTATATACCGCATACAACACCACACACACTGACGGACAAGCACTACCACCACATTAATACCTAACCTCACGCTGTTCAATTATCAAGGAAAATAAATGACTTAATAATTTTGAACCCTGTTGCATTTAATAGACGGAATTGATTTTGAATTATTTCATCAGTTGAAATGAGGAGTGCAAATCTTGTTGAAATTATAACAATTGATATTTCCATAGCCTAAGTCACATTTTCACTTAAACTATCTTTCTATAGCCGTAGTGCAAATTGTTCCTAGTACACGTGTGACATATGAAATAGCAAGCAAAATCTTGTTCTAAAGCATAAGCATGCTATTTACTATTATCACCGTTAATGTAAAATTTTGTTTTTTATTATCTTCATTTACATCTCGCCGCGCAGTGTTTATTGCTTCGTTAAGATTGTTTAGGTGTTTGGTTATCACCATAGATATAGGAAAAAAGGGGAGATTTGGTATGAGGGCGTGGTTCATGTCGCCTCGATATGGTCAAAATGACCATACACATGGCGACATGAACCACCAGTCTTCAAACATCGCTACAGTGCCATGGCGATCGTTGTTGTACATCATCGAGTATTGTACCACTCCAGCACATTAAGCTACATATTGACGTATCTTGTTCCGTCGCACTGGAGGCGATTTTCGAACAAAAATATGTAGTCTGATGTGCCGTTGTCCGTACATACAAGATCTCTCGAAAAACATGAAAATGCCAGGTTGTTGCCTTATAAAAATTGGAGTGAAAACAAAATCTTTAAAAACAGTGGGATAACATACCTCCGGCTATTTGCATTTTCAGTTATTATTTCTATTATTATTCAATGCTTTGTTGAAATTTCTAGACTCAAATAGTGATGTTCATTTACGATGATTGATGTTTATCGACAATTAATTTTTACAGAAATATTTTATTTTCTTACTATAATCTTTGTAATTAAAGTCCCTAAAATGTCGAAGCGAAAAGCAATCACGTTAATTTGATTTCTTTTATTTTATTATTACTAAACATTTACACAACTCATATTTCGGACGGCCGTTTCAATTTCATGTCAATTTGTATGTTACTGTTGCTTGAAGAAAAATGTAGATGTATTACTGTTTTAGATAATTTCGATATTTAAATTCCATTATACTCGTAGATTAAACGTACAGTATTTTTATTTTTTTCCAATGAGTCCAAAATAAAAGAAGTTAGGATTGAAGCTGCAGGAAAATTTAAAGATTGGTTTTCTTATTATTATTTCCGACTTTGATTAAATTTCCATAGCAAATGCATTTAAAAAATAAATAAAATAAAATCGGTATTATTTTACATGTATGCACATGCAAAATAAATTAGAAACAATTATAGAATATTACATAAATCACAAAAATACAATTTAATTAATTAAATTCGTTGATGGTTCGAATTTACGCTTGACATTGACGGCTTCACCAACCCGTGGTAACGTATAATGAAAAACTGATACTGGCGACGATCGCCATAATTTTTATATTATTCTTATAAAACTGACACTAGCCCAAGCCTAGTGGCCGCCATTAAGGAAGTAATAACAATTTATAAATATTTATCACAGATTCCATTAACATTGAGATCATGTGTGGAATTGGATCAGTTTGTCATTTTATGTGTATACAGATCCCCCTCTACTAATTACAATGAGTTTGAATTAATGATGGAAGATAGTTTAAAACAGATTTTACCAACTAAAAAACCATATTAGTCTGTGGGGATTTTAATGTAAACCTGTTGGAAAACTGTTCTACTTCTGTAAGACTTGTGGCGCACATTCCATAAGCAAAACGCTATTGCTTTACGAGTGAGGCAACACCAACATCATACGATCAATGACGTCGGCGCCTGCATATCGTACGATGAGTGACGTGGGTGTCGCGCCGCACATCGCTTGTTTTACCTTGCAAGCCAGCCGACCCCTGTCGGGCGGTCGCCCCGCCTCATGCACCTCATCGCTTCAAAACCCAGCACTGCGCGCCGAGTACCGAGCACTCTGCTCGCTTCTCGCTTTGGAAACAGACGCGCTTTCTAATTCTTATACTGCTTTGTATTTTTACGCTGTTCTTGGAATTTTTAATTTCTTTAAGTAAAGTTCCTTTGCATTCTTTTCAACAATATTATTCATTAGCTTCCGCGTATCTTTCTTCCTTCCATTCGCTTTCTTGTCATAGTTTCAAGTATACGTAGTTCGGGTTCGAGTCCCGAATTAACAGATAGGAGAAACGAACACTCTCCTACAGATTCATTAATTTATTTAAGAGTTTTAACTTGATCAATCTTTTCTTGGAACCAACTCACATCACTGCCTCTTATACTTGTATTGATAACATCTTTTGTAACACAGACGCAGTATCTAAATCAATGATAAATTGCTTAAGATCAGACCATAGTGGCCAATTGGCTTCTTTTAATTGTAAAATGAGCAAGAAGGTAGACCAATTTCTCTGCAGACAGATTACCACAGAACGAATCATTAGATTTCAAAAGAATATCGACAATAGTTTAAATCACCTCCTCCGTATGCCAGAGGTTCTAAGTATTTTATACAGCAAATTTTATATTTAATTGCATTAAAAATGAATTTGATAACGCATTTACATCGAAAACATTAACTTTCCACATAGAGACTAAATTCAATGACTAAACAATAGTAGGGATTCATAAGAGTAGGTCTCGTTTGTATGAGCTATATGCTATGAAAACTTATAATACTAATTCCATTTTTATATAATATGTTAAAAATTATTCAAAAACATTTTGAAAAAGTATGTGCAGCTGCTATGGTTAAGTTTCACAGTGATAAAATTATACAACCGAAAAATAAATCTAAAACTATTTGGAATATAATAAATAAAGAATCAGGCAGGTTTAAACAATATGGTAGAGATATAGTTCTAGAATTAGACGGCAAACTTATTAAATCAAAAGACGAGGTAGCCCAAGCTTTTAAATCATTCTTATCGGGTATCGCCGTGAACACTACAAAATCATAAAATTCCTTTCCAACTCTTGCTAATGATCTCCTAAAGAAAAATGTTAAAGTTTGTGGCAGTGTATTTAATTTTCACCATGTTAATTCAAAAGACATCATTAAAGCTTTTAAATGTATATGTACATGTTAAAAAAACTGAAGATCTCTGGGGCATATCGACTAAAGTTATAGACTCGGTAATTTATATAATTTCCCCACATTTCACATGCATTCATAAGGTACGTTGACGGAGGTATTTTTCTTGATTTAATGAAATACGTAGTAAGGTTATTCCTTTATTCAAAAGCGGTAGGAAAGTTGATCCTAGTAACTGTAGGCCTAGTGTTAGGGGAATGAAGACAATTATGATCATCGCCCACGACGCTTGTTAACACAGTGGTCTTAATGTAAGGCGATTTTATTGTTAGTAGTTTGGTTTTAGAGGTGTTCGAAACCAAACCCGCATCGTGGCACCATTTCACAAGAGCATTAAAGCCCGACTGAAGCTGGTCGCGTGCTATGTATGTAGGGTCTTTGTCTGCGGCTACAAGCATGTATCGTCTGCAAATTGGTAACAGGAGGAATAAAGAATACAATGACGCATTTCGTTCAAGTAAGATAGGAAGTGAAGTGGTCCCAGCACAGAACCCTGAGCAGTGCCCTCTGTCACAGATACTGGGTCACTGTACGTGTCTTTTACTTTCACAGTGAACTTATTCTCTTGAAGGAATTTCCTACACCACTCAAGCATCGGCCCACGCACCCCACAACTATCCAATTTCGCAACCAGTTGCATATGATCTAAAGTGTCAAATGCGCGCGAAAAGTCAATAATTAGGTCTAACACATGTTTCCTCATATTCGGGTATTCATTGACCTCATCTGTGAATTTAAGTAAAAGATCATTAGTGCCTTTCCCCTTTTGAAAACCGAACTGGTTTCGGTATATTAGAACGCGTTTTTTATAAAAATCATGTACTTCTTGACAGACATACTCTTCGACTATTTTATCAATCGATGATAATATTGTAATTGGTCGGTAGTTGTGATAATCATCTCGTCTTCCTTTTTTGTGCAATGGTCTCACACAACCTAATTTTAACTCGTCAGGATAAGTACCAGTTCTAATACTTAGATTGGCAATAGCTAATGACATATCGGCCCCTATACATTGGATAACGGATACTCTTATATTATCAGGATCAGGTGCCTTTTTGGGATTTAATTATTTTATGAATCTTATCAGCTGTTGCATTCTGAAAATGTATACTGGAATTAACAGGCTTGGTGTACATATTTGATGCTAGTAGCTTTACGTTACAATTTGGAATTATATCTTTAACCGCCTTATCAAATCCTAAAGCGAAATTTTCGACAATAACTTGTGTAGTATGACTTTGATTTTCAAAAGCTTTTAACAGCGTTGCATCAGTTGACAATAATACCCGATCCAGCATCTTATTAATGATATGATAAACTTTCTTCGTGTTTCTAAGTTTATCTTGTATATAATTGACATTGTATTTATTTCTTTTCATTTCTAAAACTTTATGTACTTTAATTTTGAGTCGTGCGAATTTCGTTTCCATTTACCAAAGAGTTTATTAAGTTTACTACACAATCGAGTCACATTGACATTAATCTATGGTAATCTAAAATGATCCATGTTGTTACCCTCTGTTACTTTACATTTTTTTTAGAACTAGTAGCTGTATTTTTTGCATTCTGAATCGATTGTTTAATTTTTTTAAATTTTTAATAAAAGTATATAAGTCATTGGGGGAATTCATGTGTTTAGTATGCAACCAGTCAATTTTCTTCTTCACTCTGAAGTATATCACCATCAATCACTTGTTTATCAAACACACTCCGGGTAGAATACGAGTAGTCTATGGAAGCGATAATAGTAACTCGGTGGTCAGCCAGTACAACATCAATGCACGATTTCGTGATAATATCTAGCTTTTTTTCTATTCTAATATAGTCAGATATTCCGCACATTAATCCGTATTCGGTAAGTGTTTCTAAGTATTTATCTGTATATGATGAAATGTTTTTAGGTCAATATTCGTGTCGCTGATCAAAATCAAGTTCCGTTTTGCATCAAATATAGAAATGTATTTACTCAATTCCTTAAATATATGTTTATTGGTTTTGGGCGGTCTACACACCGCACACACAACTACTTTCTAGTCACCTTGTTGTTTTAAAATACTTGTTAAATTTTCAAAAGTTTTTGTTTGATGCGTTATTAAAGTGAGTTTAAGGTGGTTTTTGACGTAAATAATAACACCACCTTTGTTAGACTGTTTGTTAGACTGTAGTTGTATGTACATATTATAGCCATCCAAGTTCTATAATATCTAAATAAAAATACAGTCATGAACAATTTCTTGCAATTTAGGGAAATTCTTAATCATTGGTCTTATATTCATATGTAAACATAAAATACTTAAGTGACAGTTATTGGGTAATTGTTGTAAAAAACTTTTTATAGATATACAATTAGTCAATTGTTTTATATGCGTTTCCATATTGAACGGTAAAGAAAATGATATAGAAAGATTAACAAAAACTGATACAAAAAAATAAAAATTAAAAAGAAGCAGTTTTGTCGAGAGTCGGAACCATCAAACTGCTTTTTTTATACGATTGATATCTGAAATAGAGCTAATGTAATATATACTATTACACGCAAAATAGGCGCCTTGACGTCGAGTTGCGGACACCAACCCGTTACACCAAGTACCAAGACCCAGAAAGTACTATTTTTACGAACACACACTTTCCCATCCTTACACACACGTACATACATACAAATTGGAAAGATTTACCAAGTTGAGTTTTCACTGTATACAATAATGTTTTAAAATATTTAGTTAATGCTTCCCTGAGGTACACACGGTTTTCGGCTTTCTCCTGTGGTGTGTTCGGTACTAATGCTCCAAGGGTAAGACATTTCTCTTTATCGGCTTCAATGCATCGGCAACGTGCAGCATCACTCTTCATTCCGACGAGAATTGAACCTAGTTTAACCTTTGACCCGGGACTGAATGTCGCTGCTGTCTATATCCAATTTGGAAGCTATCTTCTTCAGCATTTGATTAATTTCCTTTGGAGGTACATCGGGTAGACCAGCTATTTCCATAGTGCACGAAAGACTTTTTTTGCTCAAAATCATTCATTGCCTGCTCCAACACAGTCATCCTTAACTAGAGATTTTTATTTTTATTCAACAGGTCTTGGTTTTTATTCTATAAATCTTTAATGACACTATCCTGTTGTTTAATAGATAACTCCATAGTAGAAATTTGCTCACTTAGGAACTCCAAAGATGACTCTAGGTGGCATATCTTTTCCTTAAATGTTTTCTTTAGTTCCCTACTGATGTCTTGTACCAATTTACGAGTATCCAGGGGCTGCAAGGTGGACCCTGGTTCTGATTCGTCATCTCCGTCCTCATCTTCCGGCACTAAATACGACGATCTCCGTGATACATTTTTTAAGCAGTCCTCGCGACCTCATTCAATGCCAGAGGAGTTACGGAGAGTACTTAGCTGTTTATTGGTTAGTTTCATACACGTAACATCAGCATGAACTATCTTATCACATCTGCTACATTCTGGGCCCGGCAATTTCTTCGTAATGTTCTTTTTTACATTTTGCACATTTTTAGCACCATTTGGGTAGATCAATGTTTCCGCTAGTAATTGACGCGACTTCACTCAACAACGATAAAAAGTAACTCCTAACACAGACATATCTCCCCTTTTTTTCCTATATCTATGGTTATCACCTTATTTTGTTTAATTTTCTATGGTCTTTTTATAAATTGTATTCCAACTCCACTTTAGATATTTGGTTGAAGTTTAGAACTGTTTAGAACGTTGTCTGGTAGAGCCAACATAATAGGCCACAGGTTTGTTCACTGTTCATCAGAGGTAAAAATTACACTTTTCGGAGCGTACTTCACGTCTCTGTACACAAGCAGCTTTGGTTGGTTGGGTTAACTACACTCAGGAACAGTACAACGCTTTGCGTGTGCAATACAACAGCGCGTTCAGGGTGCTGATGTCCTGATGGGGCTGCCTCGGTACTGTGGCGCGTCAGGGATGTTTGCGGAGCGGCGGGTGGATTGTCTCTACACAACGATGCGCAAGCGTTGCACGTCACTGGCGCGTAGAGTCGTTGTCAGCTCCAACACCTTCCCGAACATTCATTACGGCAAGGTTCATGTTATGCATCATGGTAATCCTTTATGACATTTATATTTTATGCAAGGGCAGAATAGCGACTCTGTCCTGACAGGATGTTACCTCGTGATCGCGACGCGATAGCCCTTATCACTACGGTGTTTTCGGAGTACTTGTTGGAATAGTTTATAATAATAATATTACTGTTAAATGTTATTGATGTTTATTGTTTAGGAGTTGGTAACTAACTATCTTAATAATACAATAAAATGTCATAATACGATTTACCACATCATCAAATTAATTAGGACTGGCACATGTTACTACAGCAAAATAAAACTAGAACTAGATCATGTCAATGCAGCAGATCGAAGTTCAATGTTGTACGTAACCGTACATTTTAACTATGACATTTAAAGTTTTTTGTTATTACTTTTTATTTTTGAAATTTTGACACTCATTATTTACTATTTTTGTATTTATTATTTCAATTTTCGTTTTGATTGTGATTATAATTTTTCGTACTAACATAATTTTAAATTATATTAATGTTACAAAGAACGCTGGACTTTTGTTGTCTGAATTGTCTGAAAAAAATTGATTATTATTATTATTGTTTTAGGGAACAAATTCGTTTAATAAAATAATTTCCTAAAATGCTCCTACCGGAAATTGAGCCGAAATCTCCTCACCACTCATAAGATTAGATGAAAACTTTGTGACGTGTTTACCTTTGCATATCCTTGGCATCACCCTCCCGGACCTCCCACAGCCAGTACAAGTATGTTTCCCTCCGGCGCCACATCCGCGCGAACAGAATAACTATAAAACAAACCACAAAAAAGTTTAACCATAAAAATTTTTAAAGCATACTGTCAAACCTTCTACACGTGTAGCCTGTGGGTGAAGTATAATAAGGTGACCCTAAATACGCTGAGGGTACAATATAACAATGCGTTTAGGATGTTGTTGGGGTTACCGCGACACTGTAGCGCTTCAGGCATGTTCGCTGAGTCACGCACAGATGGCTTTCATGCCATTATGAGGAAGCGGGTTGCCTCGCTTTGGCGACGTGTGCGCGGGTGCCCCAACAGCATTCTAAAAACTGTGGTTAATAAAATTGATTGCCCCATCCAGGCCCACTGGATGAAACTTCATGTGGCGGTTTAGTTTAAGTCTACATGAGTATGTTAAATTAATTTCAATTTTATAATTTTCAATTTTATAATTTTCAATTTTGTAATTTTCAATTTTGTAAGTTTCAATTTTATAATTTTCAATTTTTTTTAATTTTCCATTTTGTAATTTTCAATTTTATAATTTTATATTTAATGTTGTATTCGTGGTTTATTTTTTGGATTTGAATTGTATAATTATTTTGTTTTTCATTTTTTATTTGTTTCACATTATCTTATTTTATTGTAATTTTAGCATTTGAATAGCATAATACTAACCTTATTCCTAAGTTCTTTACTAACAAACTATGGATAACTGTCCGAAATAAAGTATTATTATTATTATTATTATAAACACTCCAAATAGTATCAGTTAAGAAGTAATAAAATTACATACCATAAATGCAAAAAGTAATTTATAGGTTCAACTACAATGTAGTTGAAATACAAACTACTTTTCTTAAATATTTTTAGTATTAATAACATTTTTCCTATCAATTGATCTAAATACTTATAATAAAACTACAAACTGCTAACGACAATTAACTAAAGTAACGGGTAACTCACAAAACTGGACAGTTTCCGTTGATTGACCGCCGCGGGAGCTGGTAATAAAGGATCTCGGACTGGTTCGAAACATCTCGAGTAGAAATTTGTCTCAAACAGATATGTGAGTTACCCGTTAGTTAATATGTCTGAATCTGACGGTAATTTTCAATTTAAAATTGTTAACAACTATTTATAAAAACTACCAGTTTTCTACCAATAGTTCGTACATTTTGGAAATAATAGGCATTATAAAATTTAGACTCTAGCTATCGACAATTATATTCCCTTGGTATAATAAAACCATATATTATGATCATACGTCAAAAAAAATACGAACTACATGAAATCATGCATAATGTACAATTTTATAATTCTTCAATTTAAACATAAAAAGTTATCGACTAAATTCTTTCGTAGAATCTGTAAATCTCTCTCGTAAAATGTTATGATTTTGCAGATGGAGTTTTATTACATCAAGAGTGTGATATACATTGCTTTTCAAGAATAATGGCTTAAAAATAGTGCAGTTGTTGCAAAGCTGCTCTAGTGCGTCAAACCAAAACACTGCAAGTATCAGTGCAGTGTTTCGTATTTCATTACAACAAGAATCTTTCGGCTCTTTATCAAGAGAAAACATATTTATTAGTTTTTTTAATAGAAATATGTTATTTTGTAAAGTAAAATTGTAATGGCCGGACAGAACATTTTAATATCTAAATGTATACAAGTACGCTTTTTTGTAGCAGTAGAGCTCCTTATGAAAGAGTGCAAAACTGCCTGTTTATGTGGCCTGTCTGTTTTCTGCTAAAAGGAGTCAATTTCATCTGACTCCCACTTTTCGGGGTATAGCTGTCTCTCTTATCGATAGCCTGGATTTCCTTGGCATAACATTGAGCACAAATTACAGCAAAAAAAACTGGGTATCCGTAATAAGGTTAAGCGATATTTCACGCCTGGACAGCTCTTAACTTTATACTAAACACAAGTCCGATCTTGCATGGAGTACTGCAGTCACTTGTGGGATGGCTCAGCGAAGTATCAACTTAAGTTCTGGATTCGATTGAGCGCAGAGCCAGACGACTTATTAGCGAGGATAACCTCGAATCTAAAGTCCATAGTTTAGCCCACAGACGCAAAGTTCGTCTGTCGGTTTTTTTACAGAATATATTTATATATTTCGGTGAGTGTGCTCATGACCTCCACCAGCTCATCCCGCCCGCCCTCTTTGACCATCGGACATCCAGACGTACGGCGGGATATCATCCTTACTTGGTCGATATTCCCTTCAGGCGTACTAAGCGCTTTTCAACATCTTTTATTATGCGCACAGCCCGGGAATGGAATTCCCTACCTGCGTCTGTATTTTCGAATTCATACAACCCGAGTATCTTTATGCTGCGACTAAATAGGCATCTTCTGGGCAAGCTCGTTCCATCGTAGATCCTACCTTTGCTCCAGAGCTTGGTAGTGGTGGTAGTTCGTCCAAGGAAATACTGCCTTACCTTACCTTACTGATTTCTGCCGCCAAGCGGTAATGTGAACATTACAGAGTTTCGTCTTTACGTCTCTGGGTGATGGGTACAGTGCCAGTGGCCCTCAAATCTTTAAAGCTCTGAGTGGCACTGCAACTGTTAGGAGCAGGTGTGTCGCTTACCACCAGGCACACGACTTGTTCGTCCTGTCACTACTTGGTATCATAAAAAAAAGCTAAACGTGTCTTTTACGTATTATCAACCTCAAAAATGACAAAAAAGCCGTAAAATCATTTTTGCAGCTTTGTCTCAAAATAATACTGTTCTGATGTTACAGTGTTTTGGTTTGTCACTGTAGACCTGTACTCAGTATATATAATAATTAATCAAGGGCGCATTCAAATTAGCCGCTGTTAGAAGCTCTGCGTTAGAGCTAGTCGCGCGACTGTCACTTTTTTTACAATTTCTAGAAGCGCTGCAACTGTGCGGCGGCCGCGCGACAGTCGCGCTGCAGTTACGCTCGGTTACAGTCACGGTTAGTAAGGTGTACATGTTAATTTGTCAAATTAACCACGATTGACGAAAATCGAATTGAAGAAATTATAGAGAATGTAAAACAACACCCTGCAATATGGGATAGCAGCGCCAGTTATTCCAATTGTTAGCTAATTGTACAATAACCTTCAATATATTTACCTAAACATTTAAAATATATAGAATGTAATAATTTAAGAGGATAATTAAACCTAATAATTTAATTGGTACTTCAGTTGTTCATTTCCTACACGAGCGCCATATTGTCCGATCGAGTAGGGATGGCTCGACTAATACAATATTTCCGACTGTTTCTTTCTGAACATAAAATCTGTAACCTAATTATACTATTAGTGTCGATATATTTATGTAATTATTTTAAATATGTAGAATATAATTTAAGAGGATGATTAAACCTAATCATTTAAAATGAGGACTTGTGTTGTTCACTCCCTACCATATTGTCCGATCGAGCCGTGACGACACGACGGAAAAATATGTATGAGGCAGTCTTCTCTAAAACACCGAATGCGTTTGATAGTCGAAAGATAACAACTCAGTCCTCCTTTTGTATGGTGAAAGTAGTGGTGTGTAATAAACTAGTATACCCGGTGAGTACTTACTGATGTTATACTGATATTCTTGTGAGTAATTATGCTGTAATTCTGTTGTGTATATTGCTCAGTGTGTTACCGAAATGATTATAAAATATAAGAATGTCTTAGCTAATACGCAAACGGAGCGCTTCACTACTGTTTCGCTTCCGGGCCAGCACCAACGGAATTCTGAGCGCTCTGTCCGAGCGCTGGGATTCGCCTATGACGTGCAGGTGGTTGCAGCTGCATGCCAGTGCATCCCGCTTTAGTAAGTAAGTAAATAGTAATTTTCATTTTCATATTTAATACTTTGAATTTTAGTTTATTTTTATTTTTGTTTTATATATTTAATTTTAGAAATTCTTATTTTCATTGTTTCAATTTTAATTATTAGTAATCAATTTTAAAAGTTTATTGTATTTTTTAGCCTTAATTTACAAAATGTTTTCACTAATTTATTGTACTTAATTAAAAAAATTTGAATAGTAATTAATTTAAACTGCCTCCGTGGCCGAACGGTTACCATGCCGGACAGCCATGCAGACGTCTCAGGTTCGATTCCTGGGCCGGGAGAAATATTTGTATGGCCTACATTTATTTGTCTCGTGTGTTTGGGTGTAATTTGTAATTGTCTATTTGTGTGTCCATGGCACCCGCGACACAGGGTTTCCCTAGTGCGGGGCTATGTCGAGTGTGTGCGTTATTATTATTATTATTATTGTATTTGCTGTCATTTATAAATATGGGTCAAATTGCCTGAAATAAATGATTATTATTATTATTATTATTAGCAACTCCTGCTCTTTATTATAGTAATAATATAATATAATTTCATTTAACATGCCTTATTTATTGTATTGCCCACTAAATTCTTATGCAATAAACTATCTTTATACCTTATGTTGAACTGTTTCATTTACACAATCGACTGGTTAAAAAAAAGGCATGGGAAAAATTTGTCTAAAATTATTTTGACAAAATAAAGTTAACGAACGAATTCTAATAGGTTTTCTTTTTAATTTTTTCTTCATCAGTATTAACAAAATAAGTAAAAGTAATGGTTCTTCGTCAGAATCCATCGCGTAACTGAGTCGAAAGATAAAACACCACTAAAAATTTGGTCGCACATCAGCCGCGCGTCAGTTGCGTACGCGGCTGCCGCGCGTCTGGCAGCGCTTCTAACAGCGGCTAATTTGAACGCGCACTAAGTCACAATTTTGTACCGGCACACGATTCGCCGGCTTTGTGTACCAGATACGTCTAAGTTAATTTTTTAAACCATCTTCCTAACGAATTGGGTGTGTTTGATATAGGCCGTAATTCTAGAAAATCATATGACCTTTAGTTAATATAGTCATTGGATTTGCAAACAAATATAATGCTTTACAAAATTATAAGGCGATCATCATTAACCAATTAAAATATTTTAATATATATATAAGTAACACGTAGTTGTAACTCAGCCACTAATGTACAATTATACATAAACTCAGCCAATTTAGTAGGCAGGTAGAACAAAACAAAAACGTAATTATTTTGTAAAGCACCTACGTTAGGCGTATTCCATCGATATACTTACAATATAACATGGTAAAAAATGTATTGTAGATGGCGTAAGGATGGTCAAGTAAGACTTTATAATACAGTTCTGTGCAAAGGTTGGACATGTTGACGAATGGACACACTGCAAAATCCGAGCATTTTGGACACACTGGCAAATCATCATAGACAACTCTGACACGATCTGGAGGCCATGCGCTAGGAAACAGGAACCTATAAAAGAAAAGGTTGGAAAGTTATTCAATAGACTATATCAGTATATTGGCATTGGACTTATGTAAGCGCGAATTCGAGTCACAAAGGCAAATCAAAGTTTTTTAATAAGAATGAGAAACAGTGAAAAAACTAAAACAATACGAAGAAAAATGTTTGTAATCAAATTAATTATCAAGGTATATTTATCATGATAATTACCGTCATAATTATCACCAATGATGATTATCATTTCGAACCTTGCTTTAATAAAAATTAAAAATATATAAATGTATATTTCTTACGTCTTAAATGGGACGAACTCTTGTTTAGTTTTATTACACGCCGAACTGAAAGTGGACATAAAAAAATTTAAATCGCACCAACAACATAACAGGACGAAAGACGTTTAGGCACTGGAGTTTTTTAAATTTAATTTTGTTATTAGTTTTTTCGTAGGTATTTGTAGAAATCATCAATAAACAATTACTTAACGGAAAAGGACTTACAGGAGAGGAGTCGTGTCGGGACTCGTGAACCTAATAGCCCAATTTGACATTGCAAGTCCGATAAATCCCGGTAGTATTAACCACTTGTTGTAGTAGCCGTAGAATGCGAACAGAAATGCGATCTAAAAAATATAAGTAGATATTCAAAATATTTCTTTTACGGTAGTAGTTTTTTTTTTTGCTATATATACAGTATAACTGTACGGTATACAAGCGCACATTTTAGTTCCTTTTTGCCCTAGACAGCACGTACGGTTTAGAACAGCATATTTTAGTTCCGCTCACTTTGCATTCTACTACCGCGGACGTTAATTTATTTGTGCGCATAAGTAGGCAATTAAATAGGTTGTTTAACGAACATTCAATCAATTTAGGCATTTATCAACTTAAGAGGGAAAAATTCACTTTAAAGTTAAAAATAAAATATTGTATGAGTAAGTACACGATATATTCAAGCATAGACACTAATCGGAAACATAAAACAATAAAGTTTCCTCGATAGATAAAAATCACGAAATGACCTATAATTTAAACATTTTTTCGATTTATCCTCGAAATGCTACAGGTTATTAGGACAAAAATTAGATAATTAATTATATTTATGCATGATCGACAACTGTCACTACGGATTTTTTTTTAATCCCTTTACTTTTAGAGTTATTCCGCTAAAACGAATTTGGTACTTTTAATGCGCAAAATTCAACATCTCCTGTCGCGCGAACTTTAAGCCGAATATTTGTGTCACAAATTTGGGCGGAGCCAACGTCAAAACTTTTTTGGCATGAGAGCTCTTAACTACAACGTAAGAGACACACTGCCTCAACTAGCTTGTATCTTTACCCATAAACATTTTACAACTTAACTTATCTATCTATTTAGACAATTAGGCGTCAATGCCATAGCCTAGTATTGGCCCCTACATTGTTTTGGTTATTCAAGCCGGATAGTTAGTGTTGTGTTGGTCCCTGTGGTGACAAATCGGTGTAGTTAACCTCGCATGAGGGGTCTCACCAACTACATTGAGAAGGCGTACATATCGCAGGGAATTAGCACACACTAGCTCTCCCTAGCAACTAGCAAAGCTTACCAAATGACGCCAACATGGATTCGGATACGGTAAGGAAAGGAAAACACAAGACTACCTAAGAAAACGTCTAGAAGCTTTGGGATTACATTATATATATAATATGTAGTACTCCATATAATATATATGGAGTACTTCTTCGCTTCTAGCCCTAGAGTCAAAAACCATACCCAGACGCGTGAGCGACGAAGATAACCCAAATACGTCTGAGTCCGATGAAAGCAAGTAACTTCTAAGACAACAGCTACAGAATTTCACCGCCTTAGAAAGGTCTGTAGAAAAAATCGACGTGAACAACCTAGAAGATAAGTGGGAACTAGAAGACAGCTTATCTTTGTTAAAATCAAGGTGATCCCACCTTGCGATTGATAAAATTCACTGGAATCTCGATTTTCTCCTGAAAGACTCTAAAGACACGCCGTAAGAAAGCGAATCCCGGAAGTGCGAGAAAATATATGATCAACTCAAGAAAGAACTGCGAAAAATCGACGTCGAAAGTTCATATTCCTGAGTTTCATGGAAATTATAATCAGTGGATATCTTTCCGTGATCTATACGTGCTAACTATTCACTCTAGTAAGTGGTTGACAGAGGCACAGAAAATGCAACATCTTAAATCTAAATTGAAGGGAGAATCAGAGAAACTTGTACAACACCTCGCTATCAGCGCAGATAACTACGATTCTTGCTGGGAAATACTGAAGAACCGCTACGAGAATAATACGCTGTCATTTTCATCATACGTTAATACTGCTCTCAATTTACCTAACCTACAAGGTGCATGGGCGGCGAGCATAAAGAAAATTCACGATACACTACTAGAATGCGTAAACCGTCTAAATAATCTCGGTCTCGACATAACTACGTGGGACCCGTTGGTAGTGCATCTACTACTACCGAAATTAGACACGGCTACGTACGCAGATTACACACATGATCTAAGCAACCCACGAGAACTACCTGATCTATCGGTTTTCTAAGTTTTTTGGTAGCCAAGTTTCTCGCATTAGAAACTCTAAAGCATAATCATCAAAGCCCGAAACAAGAGTTTAATTCCAAAAAACAATTTATTTGGCCCACGAAGCAAGTAAACAAAATGAATAAACTTCAAAATACTTAAATCAAGAGGTTGCATGAAAAGTGAACAAATACCTATAATAAACTGCCTCCGTGGCCGAACGGTTACCATGCCGGACTGCCACGCAGAGGTTCCAGGTTCGATTCCCGGGCCGGGCGAAATATTTGTATGACCTACATTTATTTCTCTCGTGAGTTTGGGTGTAATTTGTGGTTGTCTATGTGTGTGTCCATGGCACCCGCGACACAGGGTTTCCCTAGTGCGGGGCTATGTTGAGTGTGTGCGTTATTATTATTATTATTATTATTATTATTATATTACCTATACGCAACGCGTCAAAACTGTTTACTTTGCAAAAATAATGATTATTTGCTTAAATGTTTTGCATTTCAAAATATAAACTGGTTAGCAAGGCGGAAGCACGTGACAGAGCACAAACAGAGCAGAAATTATCTTTTTGACCATGACGGCGAAGAATGTTTATCAACAAAACATTGCAAAATATGTAAGGAGAAACATCATACATTATTGCATGCAGAGGACTCAACGAGTCAACACAAGCCACCGCACTCAGCTCATGGAGCTACAAACCACGTCTCCAGAGACGACAACGAAATCTTGTTAACAACGGTTCAGTTGATGGTAAAAAATGCGGAAGGGAATTACGTCATCTTGCACACATTATTATATCGAGGCTCTCAGGTGTCGTTAGTAACTGAAAACGCCACTCAATGCCTGCGATCATAATGACGTAAACTCAGTGCAGTAATTTCTGGAGTCGGGTCAACAAGGAAATAGCAAGGGACTTATGACTATTGAATGTAAATCAATCCACACTGATTTTACATTCAACTCCGAAATTCTTGTCCCAAGCAGCACACATCTAAATATATACTATAAGATATCTAATAGAATTTAATTCGATAGAATATTTTAAGAGTTCAAATTCCCTCCAGTATCTCGAAGAAGGTTTCTAGATAATTTAAAGTAAAAGTGGGCACAACTTTATTAGTAGATCACAAGAGTGCTATGAGAAACTATCTGTAGGTAGTGTTAGGAGTGATTCTTATCTTTTTTCTCAAGTAATCCTTCTAGAATGCTACAAGACCATTTGTAGAATGTAGACAGTTTTTGTTGTCTTGTAGATAGTTTTTAGATCATTTATAGACTATGATAGTTTTCTTAGTAATGCTATTTTAAAACCAAAATACTAAAGCGTTACAAACATAAGACGCAATTCTCTTAAAACTAATAGATTTCAAGTGTAATGGATTACAAAATAAAAACTATCAAAATTGCAACATGGCGAAATTAGATATAATATTTCTGACTTTTTCGCGCAATGTTTAATCGATTAGAAAGCGCGAATTAGCGTGCGACTCTACATACATTGGTAAAAGTGATGTAAAACCTGTCATAAAGTAATGCGCCCGCTAAATTGTAAATATTTATGTATAAAATATAAACTTAATCAAAATACAGTTATCGATTTTCGGTTTTAAATATTTATAGAAAGCTTAATATACAAAATAACTCACAAAACAAACCATTTCCAAGAAGTTTTAGGCTTTTTTTAAGCTAATTTCAACTTAGATTTACTTTTTAAAAAGAAAATAATTTTTTCTCGGCTACTTCATAGCCATTCTTTAAAAATAAAAATGGCGATATGAATTTAGAGCTTTTTTCAAAACACTGTTGGGAGCATTTTGTCTATAGCTTTATCTATGGAAAAATTGAGAATACGAAAACATTATTTTTACTTGCTTTAGTGCAGTTGATCTTGTAGAAGAATATTCACTCCTATGAAGCTTTTATGGTTGTCTACAAAACGCGATGTTTCTAAGCGATTTTTTCTTTTGACAGTATTACAGAACCTTTAAAAGGAATAGTGAGCGTATTATGCAATAAAAAACTTTTCAAAACACTAGGTCAAAAAAACAATTAAAAAAACCCAATTTGTTGCAAAAAAATGTTATTCTGTATAATTATATGGAATGTGTTATATATGACTAAAAAGTTGGATAATTTCCCTATCATATAAATATAAGGAATATGTTAATGACATACCTAACTTATGTTGGAAGAAATAAAATTTTCATTACAAAATTGAGGTTATTTCTTCACGCCAACCACATTTCACACAATGATTTCACTGTATTCTATTGATAGACGGCACAATACACATACACAACATTGAAGTACAGTAGTTTACGTGCTCATTTCAATTGTTTTTACTTCTTATTGTTGTACGTCTTATTTATTTATCATCAAACTTGACCGGCCATGACCGGCTCGTCGCGCGCGAATTACGACTATTGTATCCAGTGTTGCCAATTTGTGGGGAATTCCACAAATTATAGGGAATTTCAACTAGATTGGGGTTTTTGTGGGGATTGGCGCTATGTGAAGACAATGTGGTGATTTTAACATTTTATCATTTTGTTTAATCTATCAATTGCTGATGCATCGCTAGTTTGATCGTTACTGTTAGAAACACTATGATGGACGTGTTTTTCTACATCGCACATTCCTCGTATTATTAACAAGCAGCTTAAATAGAATTATTATTAGAGCACTTGGTTCTGAATTGTAAAATTACCAGTCGGTGTTGAGTTCGCGATTCTTTCTCCCGCTCAGGCCGGTCCCCGGTATGAAGCAAAACGACATCAGCTATTGATAAACAAAGCCGAGCTGTTGGTACTTCCACACCACGACTTACCACTCGTCAACTTTAAATATTAAATATAGGTCGAAACTTATTCATTATTTTTAACATGAACATAGTGTCACCAAATGCACATTAATAATCAATTTACTTAATTTTGCAAGGCAAAGAAAAATGTTTTTTTTTTCAAAGACACATATACAGATTAATGTTGAATCTAACTAAAATAAATAAACGATTTAAGGTCATCTAATTGTATAATTAGTTTTACATTTTACATTCTGTTTACATTTACAGCAAACATAATAGATTATTACATTTTGAGTTTCTTAATTCTTTATTATATTTTTAAGGATGTATTTCTAATAAACAATGAAAGCTCGAGATGTGGGGAATTTGTGGGGAACAACTTTTTGGGGATTTTAACCGTGATTTTTGGGGATTTTGAACAATTGGCATTGGCAACGCTGATTGTATCGAATGATGTGACTTAATATCCAAAGTTCACCACCTTCATAAGATCTCTTAATATTCTTTACTTTATCCATTTTGCATGCACTCTTACAACGTCCAATAGAGTAAAAACCCTAATTGTAGTATGTTTTTAAATAAAATGTACTGAAGACACGCTATAACGTGTTTGTCAATAAGTACAAACACTAAAGAATGTCTATAAATTAAATATATCTAAAAACTTCCACCGAAGCCGGAAAAACCTGTCATCGAAGCCATATTTTCTTTGAAAAGCAAGAATTTTATACGTTTTTTTCGTATAAGTGTTCAGTTAATGTTATTGATTATCACAATTTTATATTACTATTTGCTTCCAACTGAAAATGAATAAAGAAAATCAAAACAGAAAACAAAAATTGGAAATCAAGAAGATGTAGGAACGTGCTGTACAAGCAAAGATAAAAAGCGATCCGTTTACTAATGATAGGTTCAAAGAAAAAGATAGACAGGTATGCGAAGAAAAAGCGGAAGGAAAAACTTTGAAACTGGATGTATTACCTCGTCATGTGTAAAAAGTAATGAAAGATTATCGCGTAAGTTACCAAAAATTTATATCTTTTGTAGTTACATATTACAGTCGTTACGTTTAGTTACTAAAGCACACACATTTATTTTTCTCGTGAGTTTGGGTGTAATTTGTGATTGTCTATGTCCATAGCACCCGCGACACAGGGTGTCCCTAGTCCGAGGCTATGTTGAGTGTGTGCATAAAAAAATAATTATAGAACTAAAGTGTATACACGGTGTTTAAAAAATAACAGCAAATAGTAATATTTACTGGCGTTTATGGTTATTTGAACAAGAGAGACTTTTTTAAATAAAGCATAAATTTGAATGTGCCTTTGAGATTCATCTCATCACATGGGAAGTGACGACAAAGTCGATGATGGAGCATGCACACCTAAATAATGCCTACTCACTCTCGCCTTGTCTTAATTTCAGAATTGTTCAGCAATCTATTCATAGTCATAATCCCATAATTAAGGTACCGCATTGCATTTGCCTAAGTTTATGTCAATATAACACGAGAATTCTGTTATATACCTATTTTTTAAAATTATGTTCACAACCTGTACGTACAATTAAAATAATAACGTGACAATCCTGCGCGTACTGTTTTTTCTTATTATATTATGGTACACGTATGAATCTAGTATTGTACAATGTGAAGTTGATTGTAGCTATTTTAAGAAAGAGAAGTCAATATATTTTTACTTACTCGCTCGCCGAGGTACTCTCGGATAGTATTAAAAGGTTGATTGCTCCAAAAATTTCTATAGCCTACCCATCTCTCGAAGAGGACCTGTATGGTGAATAAAGACACCCATTCTGAGATTAATGGCAATACAAATTCATAATATTGTTTTCAAATGACTGCATTCAGAGTAGAGCTGTATAAAACTCATTGAAATCCTTATAACAGACGGCTTTGTAACCATTTTGTTTAACCACAAATGTAATAAAGAAAATATCATGAGGGTACCGGTATGGTTAGAAGCAGTAGGATTGCAAAGATTTTGTCTTAGGCTCAATTTACATTGCGGCGGAACGGAATGGAACGGAAGCGTCAGCTTCGCCTCGCTGCGCGAGAAGGCGCGGGTATCCTCGAAAATCTTTCTCGTGACTGTGCTTTGAGGTTCAGTGTAGATCTTTTACGTGATGTATGTGAAACACATTTTTCCGATCCATGCTAATTACGAACCAATCGAACAAAATTAATGTAGAGCTATATTTTTTAATTTACCTGATAAATTAATTTCTTCACTAACTTTTCTCCATGCATTATTCTTAGAATTTTGTCGCTGTAGCTTTTAGCTTTTACATTGCACAAACAATCATATTTTTGTACCAAATAGATAAACTTTTCATCTGAATCCATAATCTATTTCGTCGCAGCAACAGCGTACACAATCTATTACGTCGACGTTTAACGTCACACTGCACCTGCCTTCGCGCCGTTTCCCGTGGATTCGACTGGCGTCGCCGACGGCAGCTGCGGAATTCTCGCGAATGCGCAAACATTCTCGAGCATGCGCGAGCATTCTCGAGCATGCGCGAGCATTCCCGAGTATGCGCCGTAAGACGCGTGACTTGTTCTTTGACTCGTATCTAATTTGTACGTCACGCGATTCAAAATAATGTTCATTAAGCTATGTACAACATCGTTACAAAAATTCGCTTCCATTCCGTTCCGCCGCAATGTAAATCAAAAACCAGTGCTGCAGGCTGAAATCTATGAGCCTGTAGCTAATAGCTAAGCAAATCCCGTTTGCGTGCGCCGCGACACGCATTTATTATTACATTTTTAATAATTTTATTTTATATATATATATTATGTATTAACTTTTGTTGTAAGTCCTGTATTTTAGTTTAAAGTTTATAATATTGTATTTTAATTTTAAGATCATGTGTGTCTCGGTGCTTACGCAATAAACTATTCTTATTCTTATTCTAAATTGAGCCTTGGTGTCTTGGAGCCTTCAAATTAAATGTGTATATCGTTTCGTTTATAATCGTTTAAATCAGAAAGCAATAAACTTTTTATAATAATATCATCAATGTAAACAAAACTCGATTTACAATAAATATTTAGTGTAAATAGTTTTTGCCCTCGAGTTCGAGCGGTAACTGGTTTAACTCTATTTAAACCCAGCGTTAACGAAGTGCCGGGTTAAAACCCGGACGCTTACCTGTCTCTGATTGTACGAAAATGGGCAGTGGCGCAGCTGCCACGCAATAAGCGCCCTTACCCTTATGGTCTAATGGTTAGTCCGCAATAGAGATGTGCACATATCGTGAAATGGATAACAGCGATATTTGATGGGTTTTCGACTGACGGCGGCCGCGGTGGCGCGATCGGCGTGGCATATATTTTCAGGTGTTTAAAAATAAAACACCAAAACACTGTTTAGATCAATTTTTTACACTTTAAATTGCACTTTAGCAAGTACTTAATATTACTAAAAATAATCAACCTGTAGAATGCCTGTTAAAAATCGTAACATAACAATAAACGTTCTTAATATTATAAATCTAGTATAACTAGAAGGTATGTAGATATTCCGTAATGAATTTTAATTGTACGGAAATATTGTACGAAATATATTATACAAATAAGGTGACACTTCATTAAAATGAAACAAAACATTGCCACGCCGATTTTACGTCGGTCAAGTTCATCGGCGGCGGCAAGGCGCACATATCTACGAGTAGTCCGTATTAAACGGCCTATTAGCGAAAATTATTATTGCCTGCTTTTAGGAAGTAGTGTGTATATGTAATAATATAAAAATAATAATATAAATAATACTATTCTTGGCGTGGCGACTCGATGTTTATATTTGTGAGGACCAGTACTTAGCGACTGAGACAGCATTATCAGTGGCGTTGTACAGGCCTTCGCGTGTGCAGATGTAGGGACACGCAGGGCAGGACAAAAGGTGTGCCATTGTCTGGGGAGAGACACCACGCAGCATGCGCTCTCCGAGTTGTAACACGGGTGGCGTGCATGCACTCCTTGCTTCGGCCGACTTGGGTCCGCAGCCTATTTAGGAACTTTCAAGTTTGCGAAGGTAGATCATGCCCAGGAGAGAGGTATTCCGACAGTGGAATGAGTGATGCCGTGGGGTATCTCTCCTTTCTGACATACGCGTGATTTCTATACGAGAATATCAATATCTCGCATTTTGTGTTGCTCTCGCTCAAGTCGCGCCTTATCGTGCTAGTCTTACAGATGTAATAAATAATATAACGTAATAAAATATTATTGTTCACCTCCCGACCTTTGGGAAGACTAGAAAATCATCTATATTATCTTACTTGTCTGCCGTTCAAGTAAGTTCCTTCCTGAAGTTGTTTTTCGAGAATGAAGTACGGACCGTCGTGCAACGGATACGCGTCTAGTATTATGCGCTGGTCCAGCAACCTGGAATTTTTTGAGAGTAGACTAAGTGAAGTTATTCTTTTGTCAATGAAGTTGAAAGTGGAATATTTCTAAAACCTCTTTGAACTTTGAACCGATGCACCCCTAATCGGAACACCCTACTCTTGAAGCACGAAATCCGTAGTTACGGCCACATTTCCCGGTTATTTATCCATCGGCATGACCTACTACTGATTTGAGTTTCGATCGAGTCTAGAACTAAGAATGTATGACAATGCCATTTGACAGTTTTAACAAGCCCGTCTTTTTGTTGACGGCCTTCTAGAAAAGCCCCGTAAGTCACCCGTAGTGGGAAAACGGCCGTAACTACGGATTTCGTGCTTTTGAAAGTGGGACACCAGCAACGATGAGATGATTTACCATGGGCAGGCGTTCTCTTCACTAATTTATAGAAACTATGGGATTTCGTTTCGACAACTAATCTTTGACTCCTAAGCAAAAGATAATTTGATGATTAAGTGACATTGTCTTGAATCAGAAATCCACATGTCCAGCAATAAAATAGGTGCAACAAACACAGATTAGCTTTACAGTAACAGCAGCATATTGAGATTTAAATTTCGCACTTCGGACAGTTGAAATTAAATCTTGAGCGGAGAGGGTGAGAAATGGAATGGTAGTGCAAGCGAGTCACAGAATTCATCTCACTGTAAACTGTTACTTAAGTAATTAGGTCTTTCGTAAAATATTTTATTTTGTAATAACCAATAAATAAATATACAGCATTGCTATCTGCGCTGAATGACACTAGACACATAAAAAAATTCGATCACATAAAGTCGAACTTACACCTTGTGTAATGGATTCTAGTATCAGTTCTTCGTCTTTTCAGTCACAATTTCTTGGTTATAATGGCGCATTTATGCTAGCTAGGTCGACAGGTCAGCCTCTCTTACCTATATCCTATCCAGAGTACACATACACTCGTTTGATGATCGGAATTCGCAGCCGAAGTCAACCGAGTGTAATCACTGCCAGGCGACTCGGTTGCCTTCAACGAGCGAACCAACGACATCAATTTTATAGTATCGCACCATGATGTGTGTGCTAGAGGCTTGAGAATACCTACCTACTCAATCAGTTTGTTAAACGTTTCGAACGACTTGTTGTGTCTCTGTGTGTAAACTTGTATTCATAATAATTTGGCGATCACAGTGAACCCGGCAGTCGACTCGGTGTAAACAGCGACAATGTCTCCTTCGACAACACGAATTAGTCTACCGAAGGCAGCAATCAACCCTGAGACAACGCACTATAAGGGTGACGATCAGGCAGTTTCATTATCATTACATACTGACGTTATGCCTCAACTGACGAAAAGGATACAATTGTGTATATTTGCATATTTACAAGTACGTTAGCAGTTTGTGAAACATTTAAGTTAGGTTTCGTTCACTTACTTGTTTAGCCCGTAATGTGTTTGACCAGGCCCAAAGCGAGTCCTTAGCAATATTTTGTACACAACATCAATCCGCTCAAGCGTAGAAAACGATTGCGGCTCTGGATAATTTTCTCTGAAATAAGAAGATAATAACTGCAAACCGGGTTTTTTGCTGTTATTTTTAAAGGAGGATTTTAGGTTTTTCAATTCAGGGTGTTTCTTCCGTTTCGTGCAAATTTGGTGCTATTTCTAAATTTTAGAATTATTGTTGAAATGTTATAATTTTATGCGTATCTTTAGTATAGATTATATTTCATACTGTCAATAATTATGAAATTATAACCAATTGAATTATCGCTGTGAGAAGGAAATGAGAACTTCATCGAGGGAAATGACAATAATAAAATAGTAAGGAAGGTTGGTGCGACGGTAACGCGGATGAATAAAAAGAAATAATAACAAATCTGTTTCATTAAGGGCCGAGCAGGTGGGGGTAGCGCATCGCGTGAGCGGTACCTTTTAAATGTTTTGTTAAATTATTTCGAAGCAATTTCAAAGTCAAAGTCAAAGTCAAAGTCAAATAATCATTTATTCCATAGGTGAGTGAAATTTTTACACTTGAAAAAATTCACCTTGTCAGTGTTAAAAATCAAATCGAAACAATTTAAAAACTTTACCAATCAATTATAAATTAAAAAATATCTGTAAAGGAGGGAGGTTCTTACTTCCGTTGTATGAGATTATCAAAACAAGCCAAGTTAAACTCCAAATGGTTCAGAAGATTTTTATTTTCACCTTGTATATCGCCAACACAATTTCACCCTATACGCGGAAGGTCCGAGCAGTTGTTCCCTGAAGGGACTCGACTCCTGGAGACCGTTCCGCGAGATGAGGTTTTTCACCCTATATGAGCGTACGAAATGTCAGAAGATCCGGGTAGCAGTTCCCAAGAAGGAACTCAACTCCTGGGCCTTACGGGAGCTCTCTGTATTCTCAGATTTATTTTCTTAACAAAATTGTGTTCGAGTAGTCACCATTCGAGGGAAAATCTTAACACCGCGATTCAGAAATAACGCCAAATGGGTCCATGCCATCTAGCGGATTCTTAGAGAACTAAAAGTGAACAATCTGGCTTAAGGTCGTCTATTACATAAAGTAGGTTTTTTACATATCGAGTTAGAAATTAAAACAAACATAATATGATTATTATGAGATATAAAAGAAATCTTTACGTGAAATTATAAAAATATGAACAAAAAACAATTATTTTAATATAATTCGTAAACAGACATTACGTAATATAATCAGTACAACTAAAAAATAGTATCCTCCCATAATTATTGGAAATCAAATAATCAATATTTTTTTTAATTAAATATGACACAAATCCTGTTTTCTCATGAAAATATTTGCAGATTAATCTGTAGGGGAGCGTGGGGAAATGGGAGCCTACTAAGGAAAGACAATAAAAGTCATAATTTATGCAATTAAAATTTTTATTACTTATGAACATACGCTTCACATATCTGGCTACTAGATAATCTCAGAAAAAATATGAAACTTAAATTTTTATTTTAGTTTCATAGTTTTTTAACCAATTATTTTTAATTGGTTAAAAAAGAAAAAAACTAAAACATGTCATTTTCTTTCACTATCCCACAGTTCGGGAAATGGGAGCCGATAAGAATCCCGTGTGTCAAATGGGAGCCATTATATATAATCAGTCTTAAAAAAAGTTAAGTAATAAAATATATAAGTTAAAAAGTAATGAAAATAAACAAGAAAGTGTTAAAGAAATGTCCAGTGAATATTGCAATGGGATAAGGGGAGCCAAATAGGTCTCATTACCCGCGTAACATCGAATTGAAAAAGGAATAAAACAGTAAAACAATTTCTATTTTTATTGTGATTTCAAGCATAACTTCTAAAATTTGATAGATATGGTGACATAGCTAATGTAAATACAATGTAGTATCTATGCATTTTAATGCTTACCTGGGATGATGAAATTTAGCAAATGTTATAAGCGCGAAGCGAAAAACACACAACCATCTCATACGACTAAACGCGGGGTTCTACGGAGGCGTCCACGGAACTCCAACCTTGTCGAACGTTAACGAAGACATAGGAGTGCCGTTTGCACAAATACGAGCATTGGGAAAGTCCAATTTAACACCGCTCTCATTACCCGCGGGCTCCCAATACCCCACGTTCCCCTACTACAAAAACTATCAGTTAGTATTTTTTCGCTTTTAGTTACCTCCATACACGTTATATTTTAATATTTTGAATATCTTCGCTGTCAGTTTCATTATCATTCATACATTTTATATAATTTTCAAAATCCAGTTATCCACATCCTTCTCTTTAGTATAAAAGTGCCTATATTCCCAATTAGTTAGTTAACATCCGATAGTATTTTACAACCGATTCTGGTGTTGAGTTGATGAATCATATATTTGATGTATGGGAAGTCTCACATGATGCTATTGGTGTGTTCTGTGACCTTTCCAAGGCTTTTGATTGTGTACACCATGATACACTGGTCAGGAAATTTCGCCATCATGGTGTGGCGGGACGTGACCTCGACCTTCTTTAATCGTATTTGCGTGATAGGGTACAGAGGGTCGATGTTAACGGTACGAGATCATCAGGGTCTGCAAGTAACACGGGTGTCCCTCAAGGTTCAATTCTAAGCCCATTTTTGTTTTTAGTTTATATTAATGACTTACCTAGCCTCATGGAGGATATAAAACATGAGATAGTATTATTTGCTGATGATACTTCCTCATTATTTAAAGTTAAAAGGCACCAATAATGTTCCTACGACGATGTGAACAATGCTATATCTAAAGTAGTTGATTGGTTTGCTGGTAATAATCTAGTCCTTAATGAGAAAAAAAGAAATTGTTAGAAATTTATATTACCCAATGTCTTGAGGATACAGTTGTCTTTCTAGGTATACCGTTAGATGCTAAATTGCAATGGGGTCCCCATATAAGTAAGTTATCAAAACGGCTCGGCTCTGCAGTGAACGCGATTAAAAAAATACGGAAACTTTCAGACGTCGAAATCGCTAGATTGGTTTACTTCAGCTACTTTCACAGTCTAATGACATACGGCATTTTGCTTTGGGGTAATGCCGCCGATATCAATAGAATCTTTGTCCTGCAGAAACGTGCGGTTAGGGCAATTTACAATCTGGGCCCCAGAGTATCTTTGAGAAATAAGTTTAAGGAACATGACATGAACAAGACATGCCGATGTTGCACCGACATGTTTTATTGTATTTGTATACTTTATTATTAATTTCCGTAGATGGAGAAAACTACTAATTTCCAGTGCTTTTGTGTATTGTTTTCTAATAATTTTTTGACATTGTAAGCGATTCTCTTTAACACTGCTGGCGGATATAATGAATATTTTGGGTTTTATTATTATCGTCATTATTTTTAGTTTAGTATAGTTTTTTATTTTCATTTTACTTATATTTTATTTTTAGTGCTTATTATCATATATTATATTTTCTGTAAATACATACACAATATAATATTATATTAAATGTTGCAAACTAATGCCTACAACAGTAATGACTCTTTGAGTGATGGGTTGGATTTTCACTCAGCGTCTTCGCTTTCTGATTGTAGTTTTCATAGTGTATCTCGACCATTAGACGAACTTCTGGAAGCTAACTTTTCAGCCGTCGTGAAAAACTTGAATGCTGTCCATATAAATGCACAAAGTATTCCTGCCCATTATACTGATTTGGTGAGCACTTTCTCAAATAATAGGAATATTCACGCAATCTTAGTTTCGGAATCTTTTTTAAAAACATGTCTCCCTTCGTCTCTCTACGAGCTTCCTGGTTTCCATCTCATCCGCAATGATAGGACTGCTAAGAGTGGTGATGGGGTTGCTATATACCTTAAGAGTAATCTTCCTTTCAAAATCCCCTTCTCCTTATTCTGAATCATGTGAGCATCGTTTTGTAGAAGTTCTTTCGGGCCATCAGAAGCTCCCTTTGGGAGTTTTCACAGTCCAAATCTACATATTGATTATTTTAGTAAATTTGACACTTTATTGAAATATTTCGCAACCACGATTCATTATATAATATGGGTGATTTTAACACCTGCCTGATTAAACACGACTCCCGTTCTGCTCGGCTTCGCTCAATCGTGGATTCTACTAAGCATTCTCCCATGTTCTTCAACGCACCAATTTCCTGGATGCCAGCCATCTTTGTTGGACCTTATTAATTAACAAAGCGACCTCTCAAAGTTTCAGAAATCATTTTAGTACCTAAATCAAATATTTAAGTTGACATGTAAAAATATTTAAGATTATTTAATATTTCAGTTGACATGTACAATATTTAAGGTCATTTAATTGTATCACATTATCATTATCTAACATATCAGTTATATGCATCTTATATATACCATTCTAACACGCTTCCTTTTTCCTCTTCTGGAACATGTACGATACACGAACGTAGATTTTATAGGATTAGCACATTGCGCCATTGACCGGTTATTATGTCAATGTAACAGAAATGCATAAATTACGAAATGCACTTTAGTTCTAAAACTCACTTGCAAGCCATCGCACATTCCATCTATCAATTATCATTTTAGTAGTTCTTTTAACAATAAATTTTCACATTTTATCAGAAGACTATCATAAAAGTGAACAAACCGGAACGGTTCTTTTTCCCTAAAATATATTCTAATTACCATCATTTTGACCTCATTACCATCACTTAAAATAGCGATGGTAAACGAAGGTAGTGAAGAAGAAGGTAATGAGGTTTCTGACTGTTTTTAATTTTCTCTAAGATGATAAATAAATTTTGAGCTTTATGAACATTGTAAATTAGATAAATACTTACTGGTGTTGATAATTAACTACATCAGAAAAAATATAAAAAATACTTACTTATAAAAATCGACGAAAGGAAAGAGAACGTATTCAAAATAATGTCCTCCTTCGGCACTTCACACGATTTTTTTTTACTATAAACGAAACTTAGTCCTTGTCCATGTTCTATAGGTACCTGAAGGATGTGTATAGGGCAAAGTAGTGGTTTAACAACAAACACAACAAACAAAAGGTCATACACAAACTCTCTCTCTTAGAGATACTTTCAAAGCGCAAGTAATTAAAAAAATAATTTGACAAAAGTTAAATTATTCAAATACTGTTGATGTTGTACAATTAAATGAAATTGCATTATACGTATTCGATGTCCGTTAAATGTATTTATATATAAAGAAAGCATGTTTGAATTAAAAATTTAATTTTTCTATCATTTAACATTTATCAGGAAAAGCAGGAAATGGACGCCGAAGGAGGTGAGATTTGAGAGAGTTTTTCAAGTTTATTTTATTAACAACGTTTCTGTAATCATAAGTACTACATGCATGTTAGCAAGTAGCAACACACTCTTATTCGTCTCGTTTATTTTATATACGATGTACATATTCTATGAAAAAAACGTGAAATTTACATTGGACGCATAATATGCACGAAATGGAAGAAACACCCTTCCAGGGGTTTACGCACTACCCATGAATATTTTACGCGCTCCACACTCTCGGGTCGTAAGCACATTTATTTTTGACAATAGACGCAATATTGTTGTTGCTTAATCGTCAAACTTAGTTCTCCCGTAGATTATAGGACGTGGCAAGGGGACGCTCACGATCATTAGTACTTATATTGATTACGGAATCCTTGAAGGCAACAATCATATTGATCGAATGCAATCCACTTTCACGTCTAAGTTACAATGATCAAGAATGAAACTGCAATACCTTAATGCTTTGATAATATCTTTTTCATCCAACCAACTGTATTTGGCGAAATCAAGGTGATTAGTCTTAAAATACTTGTTGTAGTCGTAGTGTCTTGCGGCACACAAAATGAGATCGGTTGGTGCATGTATCTTTACGAATAGTAGTCGTTGATTCTTCTTTAGCTGTGAATTTGATTGCTTATCAACAATTTTGGCCAGTGCAAATATTTAGTATAATCACACTTAACATTATTTTGTTTCCCTTGCAAAAAGTGATCGTTGAAATGGAATTTAATATTGAAACTAAACACTGAACTGTCTGTACCATTCCGACCTATGAAACGTATACCGCTGAGAACGAGTCTTCTATTAGGAATATTGGGCTATAATCAAGCATTGGATTGGAGTGGATGGGAAAATTATATTAAAAAAACAACCGAAAAGATATTTCGGTGGTTTTTAACGGTTATAACAAATATTAATTTGACAATCTCCGTTATAAACGAATTGAAAATAACTGTACAGTCCCCTGTTAAATCAAAACCACAACTTTTCAAGTTCTCTGTACTACTTCAAAACTCACCACACCAGGCTCGAGTTCTAACTCTAATCCAGCGTTTCGCAAGTTTAATAAGTACGTCCTCTTTATGCATTCCCTGTCATTATTATTGGAGTCGCTTATCACCAGAACCATATCAATGCGGCGCATCTGGTCTCTGAAGAACGCGGTCAGACAAGGAACCTGCAATGACATTAGATGTTTTTTATTACTGCAATCAGAATACGTTTGAGATCAGAGATTACTATCTTCAAAGCGAGCATGTGTTCGAGTGAGATTGTGGACCAACTAAACTTAATTTATTAAGAAAAAATCAAATAACTTAAAATTGAGACTTAGAAAATGCCTTTTTGTTAACCGGAGTTCACAGCAGTAACTGAGCTACAGGATAATATTGTTCCTTCTTTCATCTCAATCAATCAACCAGCTTATACAGACCCGATAAGACAAGATAATTATCATAATACAATACCAATTTTAAAAGGACATGTATATTCAGTATTGATTATTAATATCTTTAATTGTTTAATTACTCACTCTATAGTCAATCAATTCAATGTTTCCAACATTCTCCAGATAAAGCCATCCAAATGGAGTAACGCGAACTCCTATTGTATCCCTTCGTACTCCTTCGCTAAGATCAGTCTGAATAGCTTTATCGTGATAAAACTGCCCAGCAAAATCAGCTGCCCCAGTATTTGTGTAATATGCACTGCAGCTAAAATCCTCGAAGCCAGTCAAGACCGGTACATATGCTTTTGAAGTAATAACCTTCCCCGCTTCTGGACCAGTAGACGGTATCTCAACATCACGCCCAAACACTTTCTGTAATTTGGGTTTTACAAGATACAAGTCATCTTTAATGACTGCTTGGGGAATATGCGGTGTGGCGTCAGTTCGCCATATTGCAGTAGAGTTGTCCTCCCTTATCTCTGATAACCTCAATATCTGCATTTTGCATTTGTGTTGCTGTGGATTTGATAGCTCATCGTCATGATTCTCTGGACCGTTCCGGGGAATATGTTTACTTGAGCACGGAACACATGGATCAATCAAGTTGTTGGCTTGAAATAAACCTTTTAAAGAAGTGTTGGGAATAAAAAGTTCTGAGTCATTGATATTGGGTAGAGAATAAGCCGCTGTAGCTGGTTTGAGGTCTTTATGAGTCATCAAAGTATTTTCTTTTGGCAGTAAAGGTTCTGCTTTATCAAATTTAAACCTATGTGTTGCACTTTCTGATTTACTTTTGTATATTTCTTGTACGTCACCACCTGGCTCATCAAGTGACATGAAAGGAATCTCAGATGTACATAATGTTGTTCCAAGTTTGACCAGAGAAATTTTGGTCCATATCTTTCGGATCATCGAGCCAAACTCATTTCTTTTTGTTGGAGTGAGCAGCTCCGGTATGTCAATATCTGATGTGCTATACCGGTACATAATGATTTGTTTTATTTCAATCTGTAAATTATTGTTATATTCTTATTACAATTATTTTTTTTCAGTTATTTTCCTTAAAACGGGCGGTCCATTGCGAAATAAAATCATTTAATACCACTTCATTGTATGTAGGACTTCGCTAAAATTACAACAAAATTACATAATAAATGAAATTATTTTTGTAACAAATCCTACATGAAAATTGTTTTTAATCTACCTGTCAAATGATTGTCAAACGTCAACGGTGATGCTCGATTGTTCTTCAAGACTAACTTTTTTTGGATATCAAGAAGTAAGTTTCAGTAAGAAGATTAGTAGCAGTAGAGCTCCTTGTGAAAGGGTTCGTCGAAGGAAGTACTGCCACTTTACCTATTACTGCCGCCAAGCCGTAATGTGAGCATTACTATGTTTCGGTTTTGAAGGGAAAGGGTGCTGGTGAAACCACACGCTCATGAGACTTGTCAACAGATCTTTGTGATTTAAAGCTTTGAGTTACATTGCACCTGTTTTGGACAAGGCGTTGGGCTTAAGCATCTCGTCGATTGGTATGATAAAAAAAAAGATAAACAGAAGCATTTCCGATATTTGCCCTGAAAGTATTATTTTCACACTAAACCCAAGTGTTCAGTTGGCCATTTTTCGTCTTCACAATATAATGTTTGCCATCGTGGTGAAAGGATTTGCCAATCGGCGTAAGGTACTCGCCGATTGTTGCTCAGACCTTTTTATCTCACACCACTATTGTTACTAAACACCGTGTAGAACTTATATTTTAAGAAACGGCGGACTATCATTATTATTATTATTATTAAAAATCACATCCACATTTTTACAATAATATAACTTAAATTTTAAAAATCCTGATTCAATACAGCGTTGTCCAAAAATCAGTAAAGTTACCAGCCGTAGCCTACTCATCGGGATCAATTCTATGACCCCATAACCACTATAGATCTGCGGTAAGTAGTCGAGAAGTTGTATAGTCTGCACAGTGTCTTAAATTGCAACTTCAGATCAAAGTTACCACACTTTTTTTTATAATATCAAGTGACGGGACGAACAAGATCATGCACCTGATGGTAAGCTTTACAAATGTTGTATTTATTTAAACAGGAAATTATTATGTACTTTTTTTTCAATATGGGCTTATAATACAACAAGCATCAACACGAGAAAGAGAAGATGATTGTTCATATTTCTCCAAAATTTTTCTGTGATAATTCAAAATTACATGACAACACTCCGTGGCCGTTCACCATGCTAGTTGCCACGCAGAGCTACCGGATTCGATTTCCGGGCCAGGAGAAATATTTGTATGAACTACATTTATTTCTCTCGTGAGTTTGGGTGTAATTTATGGTTGTCTATGGCATTAGTACTGGGGTTTCCCCAGTGCGGGGCTATGAGTACACAATCATAGCGTTAAAAAAGTCAAAATTACATGATGCATACAGTATAATGTAATTTTTTTGACTGAAGTTGATCTCAAAAGAAATGTATACCTAACTTCGTGACCCCAAAGTCAGGATTGCTACTGTACATTGGCATTGGCCGCATTTTTTCGAGTTAAACAGTAATTTGTATGCGGTGTCACGCGGTGGGGGTGTTTGCGAGGCGCGGGTTTGGTTTCGATTGCCCGCGTTTTAATTACACCTTGGTGTGTCTCCCTTAGCCAGTCGTCAGAGCAGAAAACAGACATTCTACCCTCTAAAGGTGGGAATAGTTTACGTTGTTAAAAGTTGATACTATCTCAAATTTTTCACGTACTAATACGGTTCATTTTGCTTGGGTCAAGCGACAGGGACACTGGCTTTATTTCAGAATTTATTTTATAACCAACGAAATTAAAACCATTTCTAAAATGTATATCATATACTATACGTGTTCTATTTAGTTCAGTACATAAAAAAAGAAATACGTACCGATGATATATCAATATGTAAAATACGTATTAAATGCAGTAGTTTTCTTGTAAAATTTCGATGTAAAATGTAGGTATTCTTTTTTCAGTATGAAAATTTTCGGAATCGTGTTTTCACACCGTAAATAGGTTTACATCATCATCATCATCATCATCAGTGTAAATCCTTAATTTAACTACATATTTATTCCAAAGTGATTGATGAGGGGCACTTCGACTGCGCCTGTCACCTTGAGACATGAGTTGACAAATCCCATGTGCCTGTAATTTCACCAGCGCCCTTAGCGTACAGTTTATCCGAGGAAAAAGAATTCGCGCGGCCGCCGCGCGGCGACCGCCCAGTTACCACGCCTTCATGTATATTAATGGCGAATCTGAATTCTATTTACTAGGCAACAACATTTAAATTCCTCTGAATAATACAACTACACGGTCGTCGCTTGGCGGAAGACGCGTAGACCAAGTTCAAGCCAGTCTCGCCCGCGTGTCTGGGACAGTCATTTAAGTTAAAACGTATAAGCTAAGTAAATAGAGCGTATTTTGCCATGAGTTGCCTTAGGGCGCGTCATAATTAATTCCTAGAAGCTCTGCAACTGCGCGGCTGCAGTCACTCTCGGTTGCAGTCTCGGCTAGTGAGGTGTAGGTAGATGAAAATCGAATTGAAGAAATTATAGAGAATGTAAAACAACACCCTGCAATATGGGATAGCAGTTCCGCCGGTTATTCCAATCGACTGGATAAAAAGAAGGTATGGGAAAATTTACGTCTAAAATTTATAAATTTTCGTCTAATATTTGACAAGTAATGTTTCTTCGTCAGAATCCATCGCGTAACTGAATCGAAAGATAAAACTTGGTCAACAATCACTAAAAATTTGGTCGTACTTCAGCAGCGCGACAGTCGCGCGGCCGCCGCGGATGCAGCGCGAACGCCGCGCGGCTGCAGAGCTTCTAACAGCGGCTAATTTGAACGCGCCCTTACCCTTCAAAACCGGAACAAAGTAAGCTTGATATTACTGCTTGGCGGCAGAGGTAGACAAGGTGTCAGTGGACGAACTCATTCACAAAGAGCTCTACGCTACTGATGCCATGCGATTTCCATAATATGTATACTAAATCATTTAAAAAATCAGTTCAACAAAATCATTGTATTTCTTTAGGTAACCACAGAAATGTAAATAAATAGGCACTTGACGCAGAAATCTAATTTATTTAGATTATAGACAATATTTCTTTAGATACCCAAATGAAAACATATCTTCATTTGGGTCTCGGAAAACACTTAATTTAACCAACTGCGTAACATATTATTTCTGCATTATTAATTATGGATAATTTTATTTCTCTTACCACCACAACTAAAATTCCGATCGGTTTGCAAAACGCCGCAAATAGGTCACTGTTCAATCAAATTGTTTTATTTCAATATTATTTCTGCTTATTTATTTTATTTAATCAACAAAGTTTCCACAGCGTTTTTAATGTCCTACAGGCAGTACAAAAGCCAGTTACAAAAACACTCGGTAAAAAATAAAAACTAGTACTATAAAAAACAGCATTCACAACTAACTGCAAATTAGGTAATAATATAAATTGTCTTGTGTGTGCATGTATGTGTGTGTCTGCCTCCCACTCCTTCCTCAAAAAACGTGCTAGCCAGGTAATTTTCATTGAATATCAACAATATGAGTTTTATTGAATATCATGATATTCATTGAGTTCTCTGAAAATACTCTAGTAGTTTAGTGTTATTAATGATGCAAAGATCAAAGAAACACAAGAAAAAGTCCTTCGATCCCGCTTTTCGTATAATATCTAGTGACGGGAAAAAAGAGACGTGTGCCTCTACAGGCACAACAGTTGCAGCCACTCAGAGCTTTAAATCGCAAAAATCTGAGAGGCACTGCCACTACGCCTGTCACCCTGATACGTATAAGTTCACAGGTCCCGTGTGCCTATAAATTCACTAGCACCCTTACCCGGAGCCGCGAACTTCAACACCGGAACGCTGTTATGCTCACATTACTGCTTGGCGACAGAAATAAGTAAGGTGGCAGTACTTCCCGGGACGAATTTGCTCTACTGCTACTAGATTCGAACCAGCATCTGTTTGCCAGCCAGGGGCTAACCGCTCTCCCAAGTGAGCTCTTTGATTTTGAGTATAAAGGGCTTTTTTGCCAAAGCGCCACCTTTACGAAAACTTTGACAGCTTATTTTTTTATAACCTCTGTGAACCCAACCCTATTGTCAAACATGATATTTTTTTGTAGGAATAAGAAGACTCTCTAGAAGAAGCTATAAGAAGTCAATAACACGTCGTTCCTAGAATAAATAAAGTCCACAGTGAATCCTAATGAAAATCGATACTTATGAACGAACAACTTTACTATAGGATCATTTTATTTTCCTTGTACCATACAAGTGTTGCTCGTATCAGTTTTCAAGATCCTCACTTCTTTTTCTTTTCTTTTATATAAAAGGAAATATCTATTAATTGAAGAAACGTGCACCATCTCAAAGAAACTTCCAAAACCACGTCGGTCCAATGGTAGTTGGAGACTTCACTGTCATAAATCAGGAATAAACTATGTAAAATAAAAGAGAGCGTTTATCGCCGGCGATGTTGTTTACGCGGAAACTTACCACTTCTCGTTTTATGACATTGTATTATATCAAACGCAGAGCCCATATTTCTCGCATGTGCGGAACCCTTGACACCAACTTGGCGCAGTAAATCGTCCGTCGCCTCGTTCCCCACGACAATTCCTTTTTGGGGTTCCGCTGTCAAAAAACCTTTATCATGTTGCCTCTTATAGGTTAAGTATGATAAGATGGAATTAGACAACGTCGCGTTAGAGTACATCCAACAGCATACATTTATTTCCAACTTAAAAATGTATTTGAATGACCAGTCTACAATGGCAATTACAGAATAGAAGAAGCATAAAAATAATATGACGTGACATGTGTGTTTAAGATTTTTTTCTTTTTTATGGTACTAAAAGCAATGACCTACCAACAAAGTAGTAATTGACGGGACGAAGACGTGCTCCTAGTGGTAAGCGACACGCCTGTCCATAACAGTTGCAGTGCCACCCAGATCTGATCTGAGGGCCACTGCCACTGCGCTCGTCATTCTGAGACATAAATTGACAACTCCTATATACTTGTAATTTCACCAGCACTTTTACCCTTTAAAACCGAAACGCAGTAATGCTATATAACGTTACTGCTTGGCGGCAGAAACAAGTAAGGTGACAGTACATCCCTAGACGAACACTTATTGCTACTATTTAGTTCAATACAGATGTACCTAATTTTATATATAACTAGTTATAAATAAAAACTACAAGTTCTTACTCAGTGATAGAAATAACACGCATACTTCCCGACATGGTGGAAATAAGATATTTATACCGTTGTACGCGGATAGATTCCAAAGCAAAGAATCAAATATGAGAAGAGATGAATGTGGAAAATGTGAAAGAGTGATCAACGGCCTGCAAAAACTATAATATATGGAGGGAATGTTTGTGCGTTTTTATGGGATACAACCTGGTCAATTTCCGCTGGAAGTAAAAAATGTTCGAAATTCAAATAAACAAGATGGCTGCCATACAAAATTCAAAGTCGTTTATCACGGAGACTATTAGAGATAAGTAGGAGATGCTCGAAGGAATATCATAGAGGGTAGCACTGGTCAACTGCCTGAGTTAAAAAAATTCAAGATGGCCGCCGAGGAAAAACTTGGTTCGATCCGGCTGAAATTTGGCATGCGGGGATGTTTAGGTGTTCTTAATCATAATTTGGGGTCAAAAGTTTTTTTCGCCATTTTCAAACATGGCTGTCATATAAGCGTTGAAAAAAATTTGCTCTAATTCCACTGAAAATCGGCATGTGAAGGTATCTATAAGGTATATATCTATAGGCTTACAATAATAACGTATAGAAACCTAGTCCACACACGCTAAGTGAGGCAAATTTAAGCGCTCCCAATGGGCCTACACGAGCGGGCGGGCCTTCGTGCTCAAGGTCAACCTGCACCGCGAACAGCTCAAGAATTTTAGCGAGAAATGACGAAATGTGCTGTAAATGAGTGTAAAAATACGTCAGACAAACATAAAATAGATACTAACATAACATTCCACAAGGAAGTAACGCGTTTCTACTTGTATTTTTATATAAATATTCACTAAAACCGAAAATTAACCTATTACTAAAACTAGCCTACATGAATTTGATTTTTGCCTCACTTGTGACAGTTCGTTTGATATGAAACTATCATTCTATACGTTATTATTCTAAGTGTATAGGTGTTTGACAATAATTTGTGGTCAAAACTTATTTTTCGCTTTTTTAATATGCCGCAATATGGCTGCTATACAAACTTTTCTTCTAAGAAAAATTTCTTCTATTTCGACTGAAAATGGCATGGCTTTAATCACAATTTGGGGTAAAAATTTTATTTCCGCCGTTCTTAGATATAGCCGCCGTACAAGCGTTCGTTTTTTATGTAAAGTGCCGTTGAAAAAATTAGCTTTGCTCGGGCAGAAAATTGGCACGAAATGATTGTCTGATAATAATTAGTGGTCAAAATATATTTTTGCAATTTTTTTAAATATGGCCGCCATTAAAAAGCTATTTTAATTGTTTAAAACTAAGTCATAAGTGCCGAGGCCGTAGGTCGAGGTACGCGGAGGGCAAAGCCCGAAGCGTCCGCACGCCATCGTACAGAGGTAATATTCGGAGGCATAACAGATTACGAGTACAAGATCTCACAATTGTAAAAATGTAAGGCATACTTCCCGAGGTAGTGGAAATGAGATACTTATAATAGCGTTGTTGGATCTCGACCGTCTCTCTGTTAGATTCCTTTTCCTTTTGAAGGTATGCCAAAGATAAGTGTGGGGGCGGATTGTGAGAAAAAAACGCCTGGTTGTAAATTGAGCTTCTTGTTCTTGGTTTTGCTTGGATCGCGGAGAGATTTGGAACGCCTTCGGAGTCTTGTGCAGTCAATTTTGGAATGTCGTTCCGCTCCCAACGCTCCGCTTTTTATATCATCGCTGGCCCGCCGTGCCGCTCGCATTCTATTCAAGTGTGCGAGCGGGACGGCACCAATGCAGGAGCGGGACGGGAGAACCCTACAGACTCCAAGCAAAACCCCTCTCTCCCTCTCGTTTATTTACCAAACCTTAAACTAAATTAACAATACCAAATTATAATAATAAATCACAATAATAAATTTACAATATTAAAAATCACATGGGCGCGAACACGTTTTCGTCCTGAACATATTCTCCCGCCGCAGCTTGTAGCTGGAAAGTCCTAGGGTTCGCGCTTCGTTGTCTCGTTGCCTCCCGTATTATTTTTTCGCCAAGTAGGGTCGGCGTCGGCATTTTTCCTCGTTCTCTTCCTTAAAGCGGCGCATCGTTGTGTGCGCGTCCGTAGCCTGTCTATGAACTGTAGTACGCGCGCTGTGGTCCGCATGAGGCGTATCCAACTTGAGAAACGAGTTACTACGGGCAGAGCTTCCTTCAGTCGCGCGCCGACGCCTGTGGTGAGGTGGACCCGTTCTTCATCCGTGACGTTGACGTCCGTGACTTCCTCTTGAGGCCAATTTTCTTCCGACATATATAGAAAGTCCGGCCCCCTGTACCATCGATGATTAGAGTCGAAGTCGTGTGGCACGTCGCGGGTGGCGTCGTCTGCGACGTTCATTTTGGTGGGTATCCATCTCCATTCTTTCGTTTTAGTGTGTTCAGCGATCTCCGCCACTCTATGCGCTACGAACGGTTTATAAACTCGCGGTCCGTTGCGTATCCAGGTCAGCACCGTGCGGGAATCTGTCCAGTAGTAGCGGCTCGTCGGTTTAAATTGATGCTCGTCGACGACGGTCTGTGTAAGACGGCAACCCAGCACGGCAGCTTGCAGCTCTAGTCGTGGTATGGAGATCACCTTCAACGGAGCTACTTTCCCCTTGCCGATGATGAGTGAGACGTGTATGTTGCCATCTTCGTCTTCTACACGCCAATAGGTGACGGCCGCGTATGCCGTTGAACTTGCGTCCACGAATGTGTGTAACTGGATGCCGCGCGCGTGACTAAGTTTCATATAGCAGCGCGGTACTTTTATCTTGGCGAGTCGTCGTACATCTTCCAGCCATCTGCTCCAGGCGTCCGCTTCGGGCGCTTCTAACGGGGTGTCCCAATCGATGCCCGAGCGCCACGTGTCTTGTATGATGCGCTTCGCTTGTATGGTGACTGGAGTGGCGATGCCCAATGGATCAAATATGGACATCGCAGTGCGTAGCGCCTCCCTTTTAGTTGGTGTTCTTGCCCCGTTGTATACTTCCGCCGGTGTTTTGTGAGTGTTGATGTTGAAAGACAGGGTGTCTTCCTCTGGTTGCCACACCATGCCCAGTATTTTCGTGCTGTCCAGTTGTAGTATGTCGCCTTTCGATCCCGGTGACAGCGTGCTTAGTACTCGGCGCGAGTTAGATGCCCAACGTTGCAGGAAGTAGTTCGCGCGGCTGTGTATGTACGCAACTTGTGTGGATATGCGTACGGCCGCTCCTTCGTCGTCAAAACTCGCTAGGTAGTCGTCGACGTAATGGTTGTCGATGATTGCCGCTGTCGCCTCGGGGTACTGAGCACGAAAGTGTTCCGCGTTCTTGTCCTTTACGTAGATAGCAGTACAGGGAGATGATGTGGCGCCGAATATGACACTCTTCATACGGTACTCGGTCGGTTGGCGATCTCGGTCGTCTCCTCTCCACAGGAAGCGTTGCATGTCTCTATCTTCCTCTCGTATGGTCACACGAAGAAACATGTCTCTGATGTCGGCTGCTACCGCTACTGGTCGCTGACGGAACTTCATCAACACGCCGGGCAGGGATTGTATTAAGTCCGGGCCTGGTAGTAGCATGTCGTTCAGGCTGACTCCTTTGGCTTTGGCAGCGGCGTCGTGGACCAATCTGAGCTTCTCTGGCTTCTGTGGATTGATGACGGCGAAATGGGGTAAATACCAAGTCTTCGGGTTCTTATGGGGTGGCGCTATTTCTGCGTAGTCGTTGTCGAACAGTGTTTGTAACTGTTTTTCGTATCTCTTTTTCAGTACCTCGTCGCGGTCGAGTTTCTTTTCAACTAGTTCCAATCTTCTTAACGCCACGTCGTAGCTGTCAGGTGGACGAACGTGCTCGTTACGCCATAGAAGACCGGTTTCAAAGCCTCCCGCCGGTAAACGGCGGGTTTTATCTTCTAGTTGTTGCAGTGCTCGTCGCTCGTCGTCGTTGTGGCTGCGTCTCGGTGTGACAGCCAATGACTCGAGGCTGAAGTGTTCCCTCATCATCTGCTCCATGGACTCTTCATCATCAGGGGCGACAGCGTGGAGTACTTTGTGGGTGTTGACTCTTTCACTCGATCTCTTAGTGCCGTGTAGAACCCAACCTAAATCGGTGAGTGTTGCGATCGGTTGGTGTCGGTCCCCTTGTCGCACGGCATGTGTGAGTAAAAGATGCCAGTTGTCTTGACCCAGCAGTATCGTAGGTGATCCCTCTTCGTAGATGAGATGCTCTTCTAAGTCGTGCAGGTGGGGGCAAGCTCGTATGACGTTACGTGGCACTGCTTGCGGCGATAGCTTCAAGTTGTTCATGGTGCGGGCTGTTATTGTATGCTCATTCGTGTCGCGCCCGCGCAGAGAAATGCGTACTTGTTGCGATTCGCAGACGTTGATTCGTGTGCCGGCTACACCCTCAATGTAAAAGGGTGCTGGTGTACCCGCTGCGCCGATCCTTCTTGCTAGCGCCGCCTCGATCAGGCTACACGTTGACCCGTCGTCCAGTAGTGCGAGTGCGTTGCACGTACCCTTGGGGCCCCTCACTTGCACAGGGAGTACCTTCAGTAGCGCGGTGGTGTTGCTTCTGTCTTTTGCTGATGCCACAACAAATGATGCAGGAGCTTCTTTCTTCTCCTTTGATGAGGGTGGAGTGCCATGCAGCAGTGAATGATGCATGTACTCGCAACCGTCGATGCCGCACCTCTTGTTCTTACACGTATGGCGAAATTTGCGTGTCCGTAAACAGCGGAAACATAGCCTATGTTTGCGTGCTATGTCCCACCTGGCGGCTACATCTGCTGTCTTCATTTCGTCGCATTGCGCCACATGATGACCCGTCTTGTTGCAAATAGGACACGTAGTAACTTGTTCGTGCTCGGCTGGCTTCGCTATTTGAGTGTGGTAGCTCTTCATGGGTCTCCTGCCTGCTGGCTCCCGCCGGTCTTCCACAGGTGTGTTCTCGACGGGCGCGTAGCTCCCACAACGTGCAGCTGTGCGTTGCATGAACTCGGTCAGGGTTACTAGGTCAGGTTGGTATTCTGGCTGTTCCGCAGCAAAGTCATAGTATCGATAGCGCAATGCTGAAGGCAGCTTCTCAACCACGGCGCGCACTATCTCGGCATTGTGTAGATAATGCGGTCTGTTTAGCGCCTTCAATGTGGCCGTGACGTTGATGATCTTCGATGCGAAGTTGCAGATGTCTCTCGGATGTTCGCCCAGACGTGGAAGGGTGCGTAGCTTACTCAGTTCGGCCAGTGCGAGCGCGTCCGAACGACCGAACCTTGATGTCAGTAAGCTCATTACTTCGTTGGAGGACGTGGCTCCGACGAATAAACATTGAGCTGCTTCCCTAGCGGTGCCTTTCAAGCTCCTCCGGAGCCTCGCCAGGTTCTCTTGTTCTGTAAGCAGTCCTGCAGATTCCTCATAGGCTGTCTTGAACGGCAGCCAGTCGCTTGACGAACCGTTGAATATGGGTAATTCTTGAAGTCTTGCAGTAGTGGGTTGAATCGCTCGTGCCGCAGTAGTGATCGCCGTTGCTAACTTTTCATAACATATGTCGTTCGGCGGCTTATGTTCCAGGTGGCCGTCGTTGTTACGATAGTATTGCGGCTGTTGTCTCTCACTTGTGTGCGTGACGTATGTAGAGGGGGGCGCTCCCCCCTGGTCGTTGGTGGGGGGGCACCTGGTCCCAGCTGTCGCAGGTGCCGCGTACGTGGAGATTTTTTCCTGGCGAATGACGTCGCGCGTCGGCGGCGGCGCCTGTGATTCGGCAGGTCTTCCCTTCAATATATCTTCCTTCGTACGTGTGGCGGCAGTGTAGTCTTCCTGCTCTTCTCTTCTCAACCCAATAGTGCTTGTGCGAATCCACTCCGATGTGCGTTCTTCGCGGATCGTGGCTTCCTCCGGTTCGTCTACGTCCGATTCCTCTTCCATTGCCGCGATCTTTGCAGATATTAAATCGATTTTCAGCTTCAATAATTCTTGTTGCGCTTCCGCTAGCTGCTTACGACGACTGTTCGAAGAACCGGATCGAAAAGATCGAACAGATTTAGGAGAGCATATTCTCCGTGGTGCTTCGCTTGTAGTGGCGCCGGCTTCGGGTCTCTCTACTAGTTGGGAGACTGGCGAGGTGGCAGTCGGCGCCGCGTCGATTTGTCTGATCGTCGCGTCGGTTTCCACAGTTGCACCGGTTGTACGTGTGGCGTACGTGGAGCGCGTGTGTTCTGAAGTTGTAGCGGTCTTTTCGGTCCCCGTGATCGTGTCAGTGCCCGTCGAACAGGTTGGAGCAGTGGACGAGGATTCTTGGGTATTCACGGGGTATGATTTTGCGCTTCTGGTAACTGGCATTGTTCTTTCTTGATGTAATCCGGCTGCTGAAGGACCAGAAAATGTGGGGGCGGATTGTGAGAAAAAACGCCTGGTTGTAAATTGAGCTTCTTGTTCTTGGTTTTGCTTGGATCGCGGAGAGATTTGGAACGCCTTCGGAGTCTTGTGCAGTCAATTTTGGAATGTCGTTCCGCTCCCAACGCTCCGCTTTTTATATCATCGCTGGCCCGCCGTGCTGCTCGCATTCTATTCAAGTGTGCGAGCGGGACGGCACCAATGCAGGAGCGGGACGGGAGAACCCTACAGACTCCAAGCAAAACCCCTCTCTCCCTCTCGTTTATTTACCAAACCTTAAACTAAATTAACAATACCAAATTATAATAATAAATCACAATAATAAATTTACAATATTAAAAATCACATGGGCGCGAACACGTTTTCGTCCTGAACAATAAGTATTTAGGGGGAAAAATGCCAAACTTCTGCCGAATTTCCTGTACTATGAATACCAGAATAACGATAAATCTGAGGGCAATATCCTGAATACTCAGACAAAAACCAACTTAGAAAAGTTCGTTTCTTAAATTGCCTCAAATCGGGAATCGAACCTCCTCATCAAGCACCTATAGTACTAACCGCTGTACCACCGTAGATGATGAGCACAACCCATAATCTGAACCCGACCGCGCGCCGCAAGCCGAGAGTACAGGGTTCGTCATGTATATAAATATTTGAATATTTACATATAAAAAAAGCTTGGAATTTAAATGATCGTGAACGAAAGAACAAACAAAAATAAAACAAATTAGGGTGGACAAATTACTCCACAAATTCGTCGCTTAAATGAATGTTTAGAGTGTACCAAAAAACTACGAAGTTGTAAGGCGTGGAACAATTTCAGATTGTGCTAATCAAATAAAATATTTAACATCGTTTTTCATACCAAATTGAATTTATAACTATTTTCTCAGTTTCCCAGAAATTAGTTTTCCAATTACGACACTGTACTTTTGAGGCTGCGAAAAGTCAGCCATTTTAGGGTCTACAGGTAATTTGCCTTTATAAATATTTGCATCTGGATCAAACTATTATCAATGAGCTTCCTGACGAATAGACTCTGACTTTCTTTGAGAGAAAAGTTTAAATAAATTAAGGCGAGTCGTCAGAGGAGAAGCAGAAAAACTGTTTTGGTAGGTCAAGTAGTTTCAGGTATTTACTTTTAAATAACGGTCTGACAAAAAATATACGATACACCTAGAGATTTTGTCTTAAGAATGTGCTAATTGGTTATTCAAGAACTATAATATCTAGCTTTGCACATAATTTTTACATGGAGATATTTCTCTTTAAGTACTAAGTAGAGAGAACAACTTTCCTTTACGGCTTATTCGAAGTAGGGTAAATACGGTTTAAATGATGGTTTTCTTCAATATATTGAAACCACTAAATAAACAAAGGATTTGAAATAATAATCCTATATCTTAGCGGATACGTCAGAGACTCGGTTCATTGAGACGAGCAAATTGCGTTTATCGAGTCGGCACGAGCACTGGCACGTGAAGCAACACCACGATACTCGCATTCGGCGAGTTAATGAATCGACGCCTACGCCTTGTTCACTAATTCGCGAAGATGGCTCCCAGTAGTTCCTTTGAAGATACCACAGACGAGGGCTAAAGCTACTTCGAAAGTGGTACCCAAAAGTATCGTTTAGTAAAAAATAATGTTTTACGTTTAACTACAAGCTCGGTAAAGGCATTGCCAAGAAAACTACTGAAAAAACGCGCTCTCATATACCAGCAAAATCCAGTTCACAAATACTGTGTTAGACGCAACTTTCGGGTTTGTTCACGATGTTTTCATTCGCCTTTTGCAAAATTGGACATGCGATAAAGGACAAAAAATTTACCTAAAGTAAATATTTCCTCAATGTTCACGTTCACGTGACGTGAACAGACAACCAGACGAGACATCAATTACCACGTGACGATAATAGGCTGCTCAGCAGTGCACTGACCGAATAGCAACGTGCAAGACCAGCCTGCTGAGTAGAAGTTTCCTTTGTTTAACATTTAAAAATTATATTGTAGATATACACGCATGCATGTAAATAGAATTTGTATAAATACTCTAGTTTTTAGAAATAAAAATCTCTTTGAATCCAGACATCAACGCCGTCTCATTGATGACGACGGAACTCTCCTGACTACAGCATCCTCTCACAGCGGCCAAGACCCCTTTAGCCGTCAGCTTATCTGATCAGTCTTGTGAGTCTGTGAGACTGGTAGTGAGAAAATCCTCTCCTTGCACCCCTTATCCTTCTCACCTTCCGTCTGTCACCTTAGGTCGCATGGTAACAGGCTTCCTCTACCTATCTATATACGTATATATAGTAGTGCATGGTTAGGGCTAGGCTGTTAGGTAGGATCGTAGGGTTGTTGTGATAGGTTACAGCTTTCCCTTATCATTTCATGTATAGCCAGCTAGCTTTAATTACACATACAAGACGATATTCAACAGTAACACTCATATCACACCCAACAAATACTACACAAAGACATAGATAATGTTAGTTGGCTCTACGTTCAAACACAGACGAAACGTTGAAGTGATACAAATAAATCTTTGGGGCGCTTTTCCACAACATCCGATTATCTTAGGACAAAATCTATAACTTCAATGCAGAAACACAATGGTGCTTGCTTCTACACTCATCAGAAATACGATGTAGATGGGTAGCAATACCGGATGCCGTGGAGTTGTGGAGATACGCTATAACCGATCTGCATTGAACGTAGGGGAGTGTAACGTGGTGCCGTCTCAGCGAGACGATGGCGATGCGGGCGGCTGATTGCCTTCGAATGTCTGCCGAACACATCAGCTAGATCAGCTGCAATTTGCAAACTTGAGCGTCAATATTTGCGAGCGTGATTATTTTTAAAGAAAAACGCTTCGCAAAATATAATTCTGGGAACACTGTATTGTCATCTAATTGTTCGAAGGTTTTGTCTGTGTGATCCTTACATGGTATCTATTAAATGAATGAACGGAAATTTAGATTTGCTCTATGAGATTTCGTTGTTTGATTCGAAAGGTGGAACGAGTTTTCCGATGGTTTCGATATCATTCCAATCTTTACTGTCAGTGATATTTGCAATTTGAAAACAAAGATTTTATGCTCAGGTTTTGTGATAATCGTTTGTCATAAATTCGTTAGCGACGATTTCCAACGAAATTTGACTTAACGAGTAACGCGAGGTGGGGTGGAAATGCGTGACGCCGGTGCGAGAAAAGAGAGGGGGGGAGGCAATTAGTGGGGATAAGATAAAACGTGCAAAGTCCGCGAATGATTCAAGTTTTACAATTAAAACTTGGATGCCAGAGATGTGCTCGAGAGACGATGCGGCGATGATTAGATCAGCGTAGAGAAATATTATTATGGATGAGATTAATTAAAATCACCACTGTACAGTCGAAAATTTACACCTTGTAAAATACATTCTTGCGACCTTAATTTATTTTATCGACTGCTATATTATAATGGTTCATATCTTTGAGGAGTTTAAATGATGGTGAGTTTTATTTGTTATGTTTTTTCACAAAGGTTATGCGACTATCATGGGACAGTTCTACAGAAACCGGGCTTTAGAAATAAAAATGACAGGCAACCATTTTTGTTTGATTGTTAAAAATTACAATGACGTCGTTTCCGCATATTATCTCCATGTCTGAGAGTAACTCTGCCACGTTTTGAATAATTCTGATCGCGAAGATAAAGTGTTGAGTGACAGCTCGCGCGTCGCGTCTTCGTGCGACTTTATTATTGGAGAAATTGTTTGAAACACTCAAATTGATGTTGTTTATAATTTATAATTTACAAGTAAAATTACTCCCCTAACGTGATACGAAAGCCGAATTTATTTTCTGAAATAAAGATTTTAAAGATTCGAATATTAAGTTTGAAGGCTTTTATTCATAATTGCTTTTTATATTATTAATTTAAATCCCTCCGAGGTCGAACGGTTACCATGCTGCCACGTAGAAGTCACGGGTTCGTCACTCGGACCAGGAGAAATAATTGTATGGCCTATATTTATTTATCTCGTGAATTTGGGTGTAATTTTTGATTGTCTATGTGTGTGTCCATGGCACCCGCGACATAGGGTTTCCCTAGAGCGGGGTATGTTGAGTGTGTGCGTTATTATTATTTTTTATAGTTATTATTATATTCAACAAATATACAACGTCTAAATATATATAATATACAAAGTTATGCTGCCCAGCCTACACGGGTCTACTTTTCAGAGACGGTTTAGACCATAATGGTACATAATCAGTGATAGCCTTCGTTTTACTAAACAGGGTTCTTGCCTAAAGGCAGTTTTTCGGATCGTTGTCAGTCTAAATCAACAAATGTACAAAAAACTAGCCCTTAGATAGATTAAGTTTTAAAAGTAAAACAAAGGTCAGAATAGTTTGCCATTGTGGTAAAAGCCTATAATGCATTTGAGATTTTAATAGAACTGAAAGTTTCATTGAATTTCTTTAATTTGCAACGGGACCGGTAGCGGCACGGCGGCGGGACGGCGCTAGCCAGGGACCCGCGGGACGCAATTATCGGCCGCCGCCACTCTTTTTGAAGTTTTTGCGATCTTATTGGGCGAGATAAGGTGGCGACTTCGCTATTGTTCCCGTTAATGAGTCAAAGGAAACCGAGCCACCCCCACCGCCTCTCCAACCCCGCTGAGACCCTGGGCAGGTACAATTAATTCTCCGCTTATTTATGTAAGTGCTCGGTCTCATCTGTTTAAGGAAGTCACGATCAGTAATTAAGGAGGACAAAAGGTACCCCGTTTTGCTCGAGAGAGCAAAAGAAAAAGTAAGAGTTTTTAAAAATATTGTCTGTCTCTGGGCAAAACTGTCTTAACATATGAAGTGAAGTGTCTTAACATAAGAGTGCGTGCGCGCGCACGGTTATTTGTGCGTGTGTGTGTGTGTATGTGTTAACCTGTTGCCATAGATTAAGAGTGTTTTTAAAGGAAGTGTTCTAGTAGATTTTCGGTTTCCTCATATGATTTGGACTGTATTTACTGTACTGCCATTTTGATATAAGTTTCTTGCAGTCTCCGTAACTTTTGGCGTATATTTCTAATTCCTTATTAATTACATAACACAAACTTCCACTTTATAACACATGCAAGTTCTTGGGCTTCACTATAGACTCAAAGTTAAGCTGGAAAGCCCATATTAAATCTCGGTGCTACTTACGCACTGCGGAAACTGCGTCCCCTTGTGTCCACTGCGGTGTTGAGGCAAACGTACTTTGCATACTTCCACTCATTGATGTCTTATGGTATTACAATGTGGGGCAATTCAATTGAGTTCAAAAGGGTATTTGTTATCCAGAAACGCGCACTGCGGACCATAGTAGGCATAAAAGGTCCTG